TTTAGTGCTTAATTGGGAATATTAAGCAGTAAATGATTGAATTTTTAATTTGCAATTAAATTAAAAGCAGCCTCCTCGCTGCAAGAGAAATGTCATTGAGATCTGACCATATATCTGGTAGTATTTTGCAAACAGCTTTACTGCATTTTGTAGGTAACACTTTTCTGAGACCTAGCCCTGAGTTTGCAATGACCACTTGCTCCCACTAGAAACACAAATAGCTTTCACCCTAGGACATACCAAAAATACATGTGCAGAGGTAGTAGCAAGTAGGAGTCCCAACTTCAGAGCAGAAACTGCTCTGTTCAGTGCTTTATCAACAAAACTGAAACACACCTGGGCCTTGAAAGCTGACAATCTAAGGAATTGCAATATTTAGATAGATGTTTACAGAAATGTCTGGAAAAAAATAATCATGCTACTACTAAAGTTTGGTGCCACTATTTATCTTTGGCACCAGTTTTCCCACCAAGAAGCCAAAGTAGCCAAGAAAGTCCTGCACCTTTTTATAAGGTGTAGAAATGAGCTGAAAGCTGGAGATACAAGGGGGCGGTTTGTACTAGGAGGTTTCCTTGAAGAACAGAGGGAACATTAACAGAGTGATTTATAGTCTAGGATGCTTATTTGGAAATGGCTGTTGTGCTGATGAGAACAGACAGTGATTGCAAACCCAGCTGCTTGCAGGTGGGGAACGGGGGCATGTGACCTCCTGATCCCACTAAATTTCAAACTCCTGAAAGCCCAGCCCCTCACTCCCCAAAGTATGGCATCCCTCATTTGTGCAAACAGTGAGAGGTCAGCATACCCTGGCTGCCGCTGCTGGCTGAAAAAATATATCTGGCTGAATATAAGTGAAGCCTCTAATTCGCATCTCTCCACTCCAGGATCAGTGCTGCCCTCTCACTGCTGCCAGCATTGATGCTGCAAGGGAAACCTCAGTACTGTTGTTGCTCTTGGTATCAGTATTATCTCTGGCAGTGTAGAATCATAGAACCATAGAATGGTTTGGGTTGGAAGGGACCTTAAAGATCATCTAGTTCCAGTCCCCCTGCCATGGGCAGGGACACCTTCCACTAGACCAGGTTGCTCACAGCCCCATCCAGCCTGGCCTTGAACACTTTCAGGAATGGGGCATCCACAACTCTGGGCAACCTGTTCCAGTGCCTCTTCATGGTGAATAATCTAAATTATACATACAGCATTTCACTTTTAAGGAACTTGTCACTTGGTGTAACTGCTGCTGTTCCATGGTGCTGAGGAGCAAAGGGAGTAACCGACTGAAGAGAGCATGACAGCCTGTCGGGTAGTTAAACAAGCAGCAAACTCCCTGTGGGTAGCACTCACTGCTGAATGGGATTGCTTTGACTACTGACTCTAATGCCCTTCCTTTTCAAGTAGCCTAAAAAATATACCCTTCTTTGGTTGGTATTTTTTTCTATATCAGAACTTGTGAAGATTGAGGAGTATTTTCAAGAAGCCAGTTGCGAGTGGGGACATTATCAGCAGGAGCTGGATAACACTGGATAAGAAGAGCTTCCATCAGGGGACAGTTGGATGAAAGCTGGGGCTCTGCCACTTGGGTTTTTGGTTGCACCTCTGAAAAATACACAGGCCAAGAATTATTTGCAAAAATTATTCAGTGACACATTTCAAATAATGAATATTTCAAGTAAATTATTATGGTCCATACGTGACTAGGGAAAGCAGCAAAATAGTTGATAAATTATTCATGCAGCTTTAGCACTAATATAATAAATATTACATGGTGTCAGAGGGAAATCAAGGATTTTGAAATGAAGAAAGAAATTAAGTATGAAGGAAAACCACCTGAAAATTGGAGAAGGTGAATACAGAGATTTGAGATATGTGAATAATAATGAAGAGACTTAATGGGGGAAAATAAAAATGGTGACAACTATGAGTCACTTCAAGAGGCAAAATACTCTTCCTCTTTAGTAGTTCTCTACAAAGAATACACAAACTTCTCAAACCTCCTTCAGCTCTGTCTAAAAACAAAAAGAAGACCCCCTAGAGTTAGCCAGGTGGGAACATACCTAGATCTGGCTAAGGGAATTACATGATCAGAAGTACTGATTTACAAAAGGGTCATAACATTTGGAGAAAAATACCGCTTTAAATATCAAATAATGTGTTATCTTTATTTTGCAAAGTGTCTTTTCTCACCAGTTTAATACTGAATTAGGACAAGGCAATTCTATATTTCTTGAGGACAGAATCCATAAGGCTTCTGTTGTGCTTTGGGTGCACACTCAGCAGCATTAGCTGCCATGCCATTGATCACGTCTGAATGGTCAGTCAAATCTGCTCTGACATACTGCATCCAGTAGCAACAACATTAATTCCCTGTTTGCTCTTTTGCTCATGTGTATAGTGTACAGATTCTCACTAGTCTTATCAGTTGATTCTTCATTTTAACATTCAAAACCAATCCAAAACCAATTCCTCCAAAGAGGAATTTAACCTTATTTTTTCCTTCCAAATTCATCCCTGTTGACCTTTCTTTTTCAGCATAAGTATAAAATGTGAGAGAAGAAAGAAGTTAAAAAATCCCAACATATTCCAAACAGATTTTGAAAAAAATAATTTTTCTGAAAGTAGAAATGGAGACACATTACATATTTTTTCCCTATTGACAATGGACTTGTGCTTCTTTTAACCTCAGGAGTAACACATTAAAATGAAATGTTTTATGTTCATCATTTCCGTAAATGTCTCATTTACAAAATCTGTCATGGGCACACCAGTCGCCTCTTCATTGGACATTTACCAGCCTTGGCATATCAATCCATCTCTTGCACATCTGCTCAGAAAATGTAATTAGTTATACCCATATGCTGCAGAAGTACATGATAAAACTTAAGAAACAGAAAAGGCCAAGAGACTTGACAGTCTTTCTCCTTCCTACTATGTGTATTTTGTTGAAGACTTAGAAAAGTGAGAAGCTTTTCTTGCCCTCTGCCACAGGGTGGGGATATGACTGTGTCCTACGCAACTTGCAGACACTGGGCAAAACAATTTATAGTTTATTGTAATAGTTTTGGTTCTATTCACTTGAGAACATCATTTATGGTTTAAAAAGACACAGTATTCCCCAAATAGACATACTTTCTTTCCCTGGTCATTAAGGTACTTATGAAGTTATCCTTGCAAGGAAGTGTTAAATAAGATGGAAAGGGAGCCTCATCAGAAGTTTGATGACATGGGAGACCATGATGAGAAGCACTTTTTACACAAAATGACACTCATCTATAGCAAATATGGAAACTCCAAGCTTGTTGATCAGCTTTTTGACAGCTGTGCTCAGGTTTGCTGGCAAGCGGCAAAAGAGAGAGACTTACAGTCTAAAATGGAGCTGTGCCTAATTAATCCAAAGTTCAGTGGCATCTTTATGCCACTTTGGCTTGTGGGTAGAGCTGTTCCATGCTCATGAATGTTCAGCTCCTGTGTTCAGTGGCTATGTCTCTGCAAAATGGATGAGCAAAGGGCTGGTGTAACTCCATTGGACTTTAAAAGTAAAACTTGCAATACTTTAAAATTTGGTTTTTTTCACTGGGCAACATTAATTACTTTGCTATTGAGACTGGAATAGAGCTGTTACAACTATGATTTATCCATTAATCCCAGCTTCTTCAAAGTTCCCTCCAAAGGATGAAATATGCTCTGAATATACTATAGTTCCATCTCCATGGCAAGGGATTTGCAACTGTTCTCAAAATCTGTTGTAATGAAACATCAGGTGAGTTTTTTCGTGGATGGTACATTAACAGCCTCAGTTGGTGGCATGTTTAAAACCCAGAATTATAATTTGATTCACAAGAGATTTGAGCTTTCAACAGGACCTCACAGTGTGGATCAGAAGCCGCTAGCCACTTGTTAAATGATATGGTACAAAATGAATTTGGAAAATGCTGAATTCTGTCAACTCTGTTTTCTTGTTTTCTTACTGAAACCCAAAACAATGTGTCACTGCTCACTATATGAACAAAGTCATGGTGATTTGGCATTACAGAAACAGCATTTTAAGTTCATCTCTGACATACCACATTTAGTTGCTGTGTATGTTGTTTAATGGCTGTACATTTTTCTTAAAAATACCCCAAACCCACTTTCAAATTATTAGCATTCTTTTACTTCAGTAGGGGGTCCAAAATCAAAGCTGATGTACCTCCAGCCTCCACCTTTTCTTTTAGGATTAATTGGGAAGAAAGAAAAACTCTCCTAATTATAGAGATTTAGCTTTCTTTATAAACTGGCTATTTTAAGATCCGTTTACAAGATCACAATATGAAACATCATTCAAAAACAGTGTGAATTGATTACATTCTTCTGAAGAACATGTAGCAGTAGAATATGCATTTGGAGCTGTTCCACTGCCCTATAATTAAGATTTTATTGCTTCCCTTCTAAACACGTGTTGCAGCTGCTGAAAAACAGCTGAGATAATTAAAATGAGACTATGGAAAATGCTCCCCCCCCAAAAAAAAATCACCCTCCAACATTTTAGAAAAAAATGGCAGAAGGACTGTGGTCACCACCAAATATAAGGGTAAGTCAAGATACTGATTATAGTTTTCTGCTCCAGTTTCTTTACAATGAGTAAATTTTCCTTAAATACTATTAATAATTTGAATGTTGCTAGATTGGGAGACTTTGTATTAGAACAGCAGAACAGCTTTTGGTCTTTCCATTCATTTGCATGGACTCTGGATCACAGCATGGTGATGGAGTGGTCAGCAATCACATTGGGAATGTTCATGTATCCCAGAATGAATGAGCAAACCAAAAAACCATATAAATACAAATAATATATAAATACATTTGCATGGTTAGAATTACTCAGGGAACTCAATTCTGCTCTGATCTCCCATTTTTTTAAAACTAAAATGAATACAAATAAATAAAATAGCTGTACCACAAATAATTAATTAGAACAATCTAACATTGTAACCATGTTATTGGAGAGGGACTACAAAGGAAAGTCTTCACAGACTTGCAGTTTATTTGTTCTGAATAAATACATTTGATAAATGAGATGACATATTAAAAAGCAGAGATGAAATAATATTGTTTTCCATAAAGGTCATCTATAAAACCAATGTTTCTAAGGGAAAATGAACATATACAGCAGTAGTGTTGATCAGCTTTGTCAAATTGTAGATAATGACTTTGAAGCAGTGAAGCCAGAAATCCCATGGCAACCCTCACAAACTTCAGACATACACTCAGTGTAGGTAGCAAGCCGTATAAAGTAGGAACAGGAACATTTCAAGTTAAGGGTTAAAAACTAAGCTAAATATAATTTAAACCATAAAAGCAAATATCCTTCTAATTGTATCCAAGGTATTTTTTCCTTCTGTTCTATGTTTCAATTTTCTGTATTCTGAAATCTGTGTATAAACTGCAGTCCAAGTGACAGATGACAGTTATCTTTGTACCACTCCCAGAATCTGAGTAAAGGACAAAGTACAGTACCTTTTTTTGCTCCTCAGCATCTCTCAGCACAGAGGTAGCTAAGAGAATGGCAGTTCCCTTTCCCTGGTGTGTGCCTGGCTCCCAGCTCTCCATGCCAGCTCTTTGCCAGCTCCTCTGTCAGGGGTCTGTGTACCCTGTCCTAATGTGGCCGTAAAAGCTCTTATTAAACCTGGTCAAGGTGCTTAGTGGGTGAGCAGGAACTAGTGTCAGAAGTGGTTTTACAGCTCTTATGGAAAGGGAAAAAAAAGATAAAAACCCCCAGGAAACATCTTCTGTTGGCATCTCTGCACTTTAACCAGATAGAGCATGGCTTTTTTTACCTTGGTTATAAGAACCTGGCTGAGACTTGCCAGTTTGACCCAGTACTGCCATTCTGTATTAGTTATTCAGGGTGTGGTTGATGATTATCTGCACTGAGTGTCTCTCTGCTCCAGCAAAAACTCACATATGAAGAAAAGGCTAATATAAATAAAAGGTTCTAGGTTCATCCTTTAGCAGAAGTGTACTTCTTAATTTGTTGTACCCCTATGTGACAAAAGGAGGCACAACTGTATTTGTATAGTTTTAAATTCTTTTAACAACTGCATGCCAGAGTGCACAATCATCATCACAGAAGATTATAATTTTGATGCTTTTTCTGCTTTTGCACCTCCCCTTTTATATTTCTCCATTAATTTTATTTCCTACAATGAGATGGGAACAAAATAGGTACAATAATAGGAATAAAGCAACATGCTGGAAGGCACCAATAAATATTGAACAACTTACTTTACTGTGTTAACCTGTCACAATTAATTCACTTATAAAATTTGTACTGTCCCATCAGTGAATGAACACGTAGTCTCCAAAGAGCTCTCACTTAGCTATTTTCTCTCAAACCCAGTTACAAATCTTTCTCTAACCTTGCTTTAGCTTTGCTTTTATGTCAGCTGAGCGTCTGCCAGGTTGTTTTGTTTATTGCAAAAGGTATTGCTGGTGGACAAGAGCAGGAGAGGATACTTAATTCTTTTAACAGTTTTTCACTTCATAATATAATTGCTCTCAATTTCCACTCTATTTCATAGCCTCATATAATAGTTTTTAGGTTGAAAAGGACCCTCATAAACTTCCCTCTTTTGCTTTTATCAGAAACTTCGGACTCTTGTGCTGTGTATATTGAAGAATCAAGCAGTTAAAAGAGATGACAAAGCAGTAGTGGTTCTGCAACTGCAGTGAGTTGCTGCTCATTTTGGTAGGCCCTGTCAGCCTGAAGGGCTTAGTACCAGCTTTGTGGGGCCCAAGCAATTCCTGCAGGCTCCTAGGTAGGAGATGATGATGTTCAGACCACCTCTGGCTTTCTCTTGTAACCTGACAGCCAAATAATGCCGTGTCTGAGTGAAAAAACATTTCTCCACGTAGAAGTAAGGAGCTTTGTGACAGTTGAACATGTAGGGAGCATCTTGCTCAGCTCTCACTTTACATACTATATTTTTACCTCCTGGTGAAAGCTTGATTTATTATTTAAATGAACACAACTCCAGAGTACAAATAAAAAAAAATAAACGTCTTATTTGTTTTGATTTGCAGAAGGAGCCTGGTGAGATGTTTTATGCTTGAAAAAAAAAATCAAATCATATTCTAACATTGCAGCTACTTATTTTTTGATTTAAAAAGTTAATTCAAAAAGGCAGTTCAGTTGCTCTTTAAGATGCCATAGTGTTATAACAATTATTTAAAAAACAATGAGTCTTCATCACATAATCAATGTTGCTGTGATTCCAAGAGAGTGTCTTAGTTTGACTTTAACAGTTAATGGCTTTCTGGCAACTTTTCATTAATTATTAATGCAGACATAATAATGTTTATTCCTTAATTAACCTTCGAAGCAATACAATTATCAAAAGAATTATTCCTGCTGGAAATTCAGTTTCATGTCACAGTCTAGATAAAAAAATTTAAACCTCAAATATGACTTTTTGCCTGTAGAAAAATGAATACAATATTTTTTGACATTTTTTCCAATTATATTTTAGATGAGAACATAATTTGACAGTTCTGCATTTCTTTAATCATGTATTTTACCTAAACCAGGATGTACCTTCACTTTTCAGTCCCAAATCCACTGAAAGTTTTTGTCTATCCCTTTTAGGTTCGGGTGAGTTATTGCCAGTGAGGCAGAGCCACTGTCAGCAGTAGGGGCTGCATCCAAACATTGGTGCCTCTTGGAAAAGCAACATGGTAGGTTTCTTGAAGGAGTTTATGGTTCACCCTATTGGCCAACATTTCTTCTAATCACACCGTATTCAATAAGGTGCCTCTGTGGGATTGCACAGATTAGGCTTTTCTCTCTCCACAATAATGGCAGGAGTAGAGTAAAAATGATGGCGAGGTAACAACAGGTTCACACAGTAAAAACTTGAAAGCTGTGCAGTGCTTTATGAAAGTTTTACTGCCCAAGTGCTTTCTGCAAGGGCTGTACAGTTGGATCCTCTAGTCACTCAAGTCAGTCCCCCTGGGTAGCAGATAGGAACTCCTTTATTTGTTAGAAAAAGGTTTATTTAGCCATTTTCTTTGAGTACACTTAAAATACATCAGAGCAGCCTATTACATACACCTCTGCCCTCATCCATTCTTCATGAAGGGACTGTTTGTCCAAAACAGTGGGCAGTGCAGATATGTAATATTAAAGTGATTTAGACATATGAAAGAAAGCCACTTGATATTCCTTCTGGCCTGCAAAGCTCCTGCTGGAAGGTTGGTTTCATGATTAATTTATGCCAGCATGATCCTTATTTTAGTGATGCTATCAGTGAAATCCTGCCCATCAGGCAGCTATCCCAGCTATCAGGCAAATGAAAAAATGTCAATAAATAAAGCAAAAATCATTTTGAAAGGTCACTATTTTGGGTGTAGGCTGACAGCAGCAGGGGCCAGCAGGGTCCACATTTATTTCCTTTTCCTCTAGACATGCATCTTGCTGCAGATAATGTACCAGAGTCTGTACCAGGCAACCATATAAAATCACTTAGTGCTTAGAGACACTGATGTCTTACCCTACAAGCCACCTGTGTTTTACCTTTACTACCAGCTATTTGCACTGGTGACAGCTCCCCTGTTAGGTAGCAGAAGTATCTGCATGACACAAAAAGGACAATGTTTGATTGTACTTAACAATGGATCTTGGTACTGCATGATGATAGAGAAAATCAGGAGAATAAACACATAGTCAAAAGAAGGCCTCTGTCTTCTGCTAAAGTCTTTCCCCCATAAGTTATGGCCTAGCTAAAGATGAAAAGAATTGATAAACAAATCATTAACATAATGAGTATTTTTACCAAGGATGCAAAATGTCCAATGCTTCTGATTTCCAAATGTCTCAGGTAGCAACGTTCTGCTCCAGCAGAATATACAGGTAAAATCAACCCAACACACACTGGCATTGCCCATTTCAGCTAACCAGACAGTACATGTCCTTAGAGGTGCCTAAATGAGCCACAGAGTATTAATTTTTGGTTACACTGAAACATTCCTATCCTTCTAGGTAAGCCTGTTCAAGCTCAAATTCTTGAACTTTCGTTTATGTGGTATTCAGAGTGTTACTGCTGTTTGACTTGCTGGAGTCCCGTTTATAGGACTGTATGCCACAGAGAGATTAGGAGCTAAAAACAGCAGGCTAAATTGAGTATTAATAAATGCAAATAAATGCTCACTGGGGAAAAGCCAATTCTCCTATATATACACACTGATGGAAATTAAATTATTCAGTAACCTTCAGAATAGCTCTTAATGTTAGTGGACAGTTCTATGGAATGGCAGCTCAGCATTCAGTGGTACTTTAAAAAATAAATTAGAAATCAGTGGGAAAGAATGATGACAAAAATCAAAGCATAATTATGAAAACGTACATTTCTGGTGTGCCTGCATTTTGAACACTGGTTGCAGCAGAACTAGAAAATACAGAGAATAGCAATAACAATGAGCACAGATGTGAAATGGCTTTTGTACAATATGGTATTAAGCTATGGCTTTTCCTCTGGGAAAGCAGCAGTGTTTGGAAAACACACTAGAGGTCTGTAAATTCTTGAATGGCACAGGGAAGACAAATAGGAAACAGTTGCTCATCTCTTCTCACAATTTAACATGTAGAGGGCATCACCAGAAGTTATTGGGCAGCTGGTTTAGGAAACCAAAAAATTTATTGATTTCTCCTACATGTTAAGTTGTGGAATCCATTCAGCATTGTAAATACTATGAGTTTAGATGGAAAAAAAGAAAGCACAGGGAAAGCTATTAAAGGCTATTAAGTTCATTGATAGAAGCTCTGCTGTTAAAAAAAAATGGGAAAAGAGCACAGTCCAGCCATGTTGTTCCTCCCTGGCTCCTGCAAAAAACCACTGCCAGCACAGCTGGAGAAGACACTGTGTGGCACAGCCCTCCGGCACAGCACTGCCTTCCTCCTAACACAAACTCCACTGTGAGTTGTCCACCCTGAGAGGGATGCATACTTCCTGCAGTATTCCAGGAGCATCTTAACTGCCATTTTATAGATAAAAAGAAAAAAAGGGCTGAGCTTTCATTCTACTTCACAGGAGCAGCATGAGAGAATTGCTGAAAAGGTATTCCAGGTATTCCAGGTTTCACTTGCAATCTAAATTTTTTAAAATCAAAACCACAAAATACTTCCCAGCTTGGACAGGTCCACAGCCACCCAAGAGCAGCAGCTGTGTGCTCTGGAATTGACCCCTGCTGCCATGAGGTGACTGACAAGAGCAAGCTCCCAAAATGCCACCACAAAAGGTGTAGGTGATGGCTGAGGCCCTCCTGTTCTGCCACACCAGAGCCCTGATTAGACTGTCTCATTCCTGCACCTCATTCTTTCCACATTCAGCCTTTGGCCTGCTCAGGCCAAAGGGAATAAAACTGCAGAAACTACAAGTCCAGACTGGAAAACCTTTTGGGTGGAATAATTGAATGACTGGAAGACTTCAATGCATATTGCATGAGTGAATCAGCTAATCATTTCAAATGCAAAACTCTCTTTTATTTTCTTAACCCTTTCTCTTCCACATTGGCTATCTGAAGAGGGAAGAAGTTAAGGATTACAGGAGGGTCAGCCATGGGAGTAAAAGATTTCATCCTGCAAACTCCAAATGGAAGCTCTTGTGCTGGTAGGATCAGTGCTGTGTCATCACTGTACAGACAATCTGTTTCATGATCTGCCAGTTTTTTCTTCATCCTTTAAAAAATGTCAAATTGAAGATGTCTAATAGACATCTAATAGACATGTAAGTACTGCATACTAAGAACTAAATTAACAATACTTTAAACATCATTAATCTTACAGAACATGTTTGGCATCTCTATGTACCATGTTGCCATCAGGTGACCGGCAAGACCTATCAATGTAATCCTAAAGTCCTAGTCCTTGAAAACTACGTGAGGTAATTTTACAAGTACAAGAAATTACTCAAGAAAGAGAATATAAGAAGAATGCTAAAATACCGAAATACTTCTTAAAGACTAGGATACAGAATGAGGACAAACTTTCCTTATTAAACTTTTTATTAAAATGGAGCTATTTTTACATATTTAAAATACTTTATATCCAAATGATGCTATATTTATGAAAACAATTGTATGCAAATGCATAAAAATATGTAAAATCAGAGCTAAGCAATAAAAAGCAATATATAGCATGTTCCAAAATGTATTTCAGGACTAGAATACCTGAGTGTTCAATAAGCTGGTTTTCTGCATTTCACTGATTTTAGCAGTTAAATTTAATAATGTATTTGATCTCATATAAAGCACTTTGGTTGGGAGAAACTGTATGGAAAAGGCAGAGATCAATCAGAGATATTACTCAAGGCCTGTCTTCAGAATCTTCTTCCACATGAAGATCCACTGTTTGAGATGCTAGGAAGGACTCCCATGTAGCAAGGCACTTAAAAAAAACGAAACACATACATATGAGTACAGCAGATAGATTTCTGTAAACTGTTAGGCAAGGAGAAAAAGAAGAGAAAAAAAATCAGAATACATACACATTGTCACAAGCTGCTTTTGTGGGACCATGGTAAGAGCAAAATATGGTTTCCTAGGCAGCTCAGTGATATGCAAAATGTTAGTTAACATGCTGAGTGAGTTGTAAAGGTCACTTCTACATAATGAGAAGTGCACAGTGTGAGCATTGTAATTGTATGTTGTAGCATGGAAGATGCTAACATTAATTATGCTCCTCTTTAATCTCCCCCTTTAGTTATAGGCAAAGATCTCTTCCAAATAGAAAGCACATTGTCAGGCACAGTTCCCTTGTAATCTCTGTGGATTCCTATTGTACACCAAATTTGCCTTCCAAGTTAAATTAAACCATTTTTTTCCTAAATAAGGAGAGGATTCTTTTTTTCCCCTGAGTAATGGGAAAGAAATGGGACCAGAAAGGCAGGGGCTGGGAGTAGGGAAATTGTCATCCTTACGACAAGTGGCATTTCTCTCCTCATGGAAAAATGTATTTATCATTGTAAAAACTAATTTTTTTTATTTAAATAATCAAGACTGTAGCAAGTAAAATTTAAAAAAAACAAACCCCCAAATGACTTCGGTTCAATTTGGCTTAAATGAGTCTTGGCAGCTTGGCAAGCCATTCTAAATCATAGATTAATGTTGAGAGCCATGGCAAGGCTATCACTAGGTAACCCATAGTGAGCTGACAAAGCCCCAGGCTTCTACTATTTCAAGTCTATCAGTAGAACAAGGCAGGGAAATTCATGCAATAATTTTCTTGTTATGATGCTGTTGATAAAAAGCTCTTGAAATGGAAATGTTCTAACAAAATTTTGACTTATACATTTGTATCTATTGTTCTAGACACTGCAGCTTATTTACTACTTAGTGTACACAGGTTTTTTTCATGAAGAATCTGTATTATTCACAATAAATAGGTCTTCTGAAATTTCTCAGGAAATATATATTAAAACCTGGATAGCACACTCCATTTATCTGAACTCTGAATTAAATCAGTACCCTGAAAACAGCATCATTTCCTAACTGAAATCTTTTGCCATAAGCTATTCAAGCCACAGCAATTTGCTAAGCCCGGCTACAGTGGAACATCTAGCATCCATCTGTCATTGCTTAGGAGATGTGGAAATTACACTGCTTGAACTTACAGCCACCTAACTCTATTAGACATTTCTTGTGAATGACTTCCAAGCTCTGCCATTAAATATGCAGATTTAATCATATTACACTGGGTCCTGGTATAGCTCCATATCTGTGTGCAAGCTGATGAGTGGGAGGATTTGATACTCATATATTTTCCCCTAGACTATGAATACCATGAATCTACTCCCTCAATCTTTCTTTTCTGATCTTTCTGACAAAAGCCCCAACTAACTTCTGCTATTGCACACAACATTATGCTGCTGTTCAGAGTACATCTAATGTTTGAATTACTGTGAAAAGAGAGGACTAACAGGATAAGATTCATGTGGAAATCTGCTTTCTTCATTGACTTTTTGAAGAAATGTTATTTTGAAATGGTACATCAGGGAGAAATAGTGAAGATACTGCTGGCACAAACAGTGAACTGCAAGTGGTGCAAACTGGTTTCTGACTTAAAAGGTCTTTTTGACCTTTTGTATAAAGCCTTTAAGGTTTGATCATTAGATTCTCCCATACTTCATGTGACACTGTGGCAGCTGAATCTATCTGAGATGCCTGAGTTGGAGTGTGGCATCTTGGTTTTAAAATGTCAGTGAGGCAGCAACATGTCTTCACTGTGGCACTCAAACTCATCAATTGCTGTTTGCTAGAGCTCAGCCTGGGTTACCATCCTAGAGAGCTGCAAGGCACAGCTGTTTTCCTAGGCTTTTTCTAGATATAGGACAAGAAAACATCACTTCTTCTTGAAGAGTCTTTTGTTGGCAATGACAGATTTTTTTCCTGAACCACAGTTTAATTTATACCATGTAACTCCATGTTTTGTCATTCTGCAATTTCAGTAATGTGAGTTAAAATACATACATCAGCACTGGCTGCACTGTAAAAATGGCTTTGTCTTATCTTTGCAACACTGAGCCAAACTGCACATGTTAAAATGCAATCACAGTATATTGCTTAAGCAGAGAGATACAATCTACTGAAGTCTTTCCAGACAAAGATGCAAAGCATTTTTTCACACAAGTTATTCAGTTTTTAATTCATCTCTGTTTATATAACCAAAGCACATTTTTCAAAATGTAAGAGGTGGCTCATTTCACTGTCAGACATCACAGTGCTGCTACAGCTGACAAGTTTTATAATTAACCATACCAAAACAAAACTAGGTCTCTGTGCCTTAGGCTCAAGCTTTTCATACTGTGAAGCATGAACTGCATAAACGACATTTTGTTAGTGATGTATACTTCAATGTTATTACAGAATGGTTCTACTCCATTCTCCTGGGAGGCTGAAAACGGAGATCTCAATAGAGGATCAGCCAGTTTTCACAAAGGACACAGAAAGGAAGAAAAAAACCCCAGAAAATCCAAACTGAGGAAATTAAATGTCTTTGCACAGGATTGAAATTCATAATCCAATTATTTGTAAAAGCCCAATGGAAGAAATAAAAAAGCCTAAATACACAAAATGAAATAGCAAGAGCTTAAATAATGCTATTTTACCTAAAATATTCTGATTACTACTGCAGGACATGTATCTATTCTACAACATCAATCTTAGAAAAAAAACAGCAGAAAGTTTTTCATATAGTACAATTGCATATATAACTAAAAAGGAGATATAAAAACAGAATATGTAGTAAGGATGCTAGCAGAAGCAGTGTGTCACATGCCATGTGTGTTCCCTGTTATGCATGGTCGATACCTTAAAAATACCCTTTATGATGGCAGTTTTTGGAGTAGAATATGAAAATGAAGTCTTGTTTGTGTCCAAGGCAGAAAATATTTTCACAATTTCTGGGTGTGAGAAAACAAAAAATAGAGTGCATAGAAACAGTCATTCCCACTATAAAAAATGTCTTCCTAAAATTATTTAAAAGAAATCATAATGGATGAAGTGAATAAGGGTTCAAAGATGGAGCCTGTCTTTGAAGCGACATGCACAGAAGACAAATGGGCTCAGCCATGTGGGAGCTTTTGAAAATCACATGAAGTTTGTTAGCTAAATTCCCAGGCATTGCTAAGGTAGGATGTGATCAACATGCATGAGCAGCTAACTCTCTGCTACGCAACCAAATGACTAGTTAATGCATCATTACAGAGGCCTCTAGGGCAAGCAACAAATCTCATCTATTTTTCTACAGCTTTTACTAGACCGAGAGGTACATAAAGGAAGTTGCTGTAATGGGGAATGAGTATTGTTTTGCCCTAGTGAACCTTTTGGATCAATTTATGTCTATACAACAATGTAGGTCACAGAAATAGACTAAATTATGCTTGAGATATTTAAGACAATCAGGAAACCATTTATATTTTTGGAGAAGATTAAGGTATGTCAATACCAACGTGAATCTGACTATATCAAACGTACCTTTAGCTTTTTATCTGATTAAGCTGGAAAAGTTTAACAGGATTAGTTTGACATGAGATAGATAAAATTAGACGCTACACTTTAAAACAAAGGTTTATCCCTGCTCAACAAAAACCATGTTCTTTCAATGCCAAAACTAACTATCATCCTACATTAGGAAAAACCACCAATCTTTCTGCATTTACTAGAGCGTCTCATGAGCACTGAAAAACCAAACTCATATATTTGCTGGAATTATAATGTCTAGTTATCTTTGGATTGAGCTGCCACTTATTCTGGTGTTCTTCCTGAACAGAACAGGTTAACAAAGTTCTTTGCTGAGAAAAATTGAAGTATTTCTTTTTCTTCAATGCTGTAAATGTCCTAGTGACTATAGTAAACACATGAGGGGAAAAAAAGAATTTAGCATATGTTTAATCGGTTTTGCTCTTTGAAACCAGAGTTCAACACTGCCTGGTTTTTCACTAGTTTGCACCAGTTACATTTCAAATATGCTACCTAAATAATACTACCAGCACCACCAACAACTTTGTATTTTGTTTTTTGTAATGCTGCATAGAATATCTATACCTAAATTAATGAAAATACTCATGGTGACAATCAGCTTTCTCAGCTGGTAAGCTCCACCCTGTGGACAGTTTGTGATTCCAGCTGTTTGGCAGATATCTTTTCTGGACTAAGGTGTCCAACAATAGTGTCATGCCTAAGGCATCAGGAAAAGGAATAAAATAAACAGTACAGTGTTAACTCATGCTGCATTCAAGAACTTTTCTCTGTAAGGCAAACAAATCAATGCTATTTAATTCACAAATAGAAGTAAAGTTCTGAACTTCTAAAAATCAAAGCCTTTTTACATAGTTTCAGAAAATCCCCCCTATTTTAGCAATGCATTTACAGTTATTCTTATTACAGTATTTTTTTGGCTTTAAGCCTTTGTGGAATACAGGTAGACTTAAGAATGTATTCAAATCTTTTCCAGAGCAAAGAAAAGGAAGTAGAGAGCTCTACGAACTCTTGAGACCAGCTACAGGAATGCCAAATGATTGGTCAGTCATGGTAATTCTTGGCTACTAAATGACATATTTAAATATAATTAAGCGTGTACATTATCACAGGAAAGCTTTCATTTTCATAGGCCTGCACAGGAGCACCCTGAAAATTTGCAACACTGGGCTTTCATTTGTTGTCTTTGTTACCACAGCATTGAGAGACACAAAGAGATTGGTGATTTCATGGCTGTAGAAACAAAGCAACACTTCTTATTCAGGTATATTAAACAGAGATAGTCAATAAACTGGAAGGCTACAGGAATAACTCTACTTGTTTTGAATTAGTAAAGCCGGAGAAATACAATTACAGGTAATGCTTTAAAGTAGCACTTCATTAATGTGAAAATTAATTCAGCTTAAGGGAGACATACTCTTTTATGAAATACTCTTAACATCTAAATGATGCTTGATAATTTGACAGCAGAATCCTTAGGCAACTACAATTACGGAAAACCCCAAATAAATATAAGGTCATACTCTTTTCCCATATTTTGACCAAGAGGAAATAACATTTTAGAAATTCTAGTGTACTTTGACACATTGCTATGTTGTATTTGATCACACTGGCTTGAGTTTTATGCAGTCTTGAAGGACTGGATTCTCTGCTGCAGAAGCCATCAGAAAATAGATGGCTGTCTCTCATCACTGTAGTTCTCAGAAATTTAAGGGATGCAGAGAATGACCACTAACAGGAATGACTCCTGAATCACATCCATGGCATCCATGATGCCTGGGAAAATGCACAGAATGTGCTTTGGGAAAAAGAAAAGGCAAGAAATGAGGGATGCTACAGCAAGAAAAGGCTTAGTAAGCATCAAATGGTGCATCAAAAGTCTGAATGAGTAACTTCAGACATGTGAAAGAATGTTAATGATGCAAGTAATGACTGAAAAGAGAAAAACACTGTAAGAGGAACTGTGTGCATAAGTTTAATGAGTTAGACTCAAACCCTTAAGGCAGGATTTTGTTTCCTACTGCAAGCATAAAAATAATATTCTCCTTCCCAGGTTTCTGAGATTCCCTTCCTGAAGTTTCACTTCCAAACAGCTGGAGCAGATGCCAGAGCTTATTTTCCTGCTCCTTTCAGGAGTGCATTGCACACCTGTAATTTTTAATATAAAGGCCTCTGACAGTAATCAGTAATCACTTCTCCAATAGTTAACCATCAGCATTAACCACAGGTCTCAGATAAATGGGTATTTTAGATCAAAACTCCCAATCGAAATATTAATTTTATCAAATTATCTTGAATGTCAGGATTAAAATAATGATTTTCTGATAAAACAGAGAGATATTGGTAAGCCCTCATGTTGCAAGCAAGGAGTGATACAGTTAGCACAATGTTGTTTATTAGTGCAACTGCTGCAGTAAGATAAGGGTTTTTTTCTAAAATGTAGATCTACTGAGATGTAACAGTAAACCCATTTTATGCAGATTTCAATATTTAAGAAAAGCACAAAGAATCATGTCTCAGTATAAACCAATTTGTCCAGTATTTCAGAGGCTATTTAAGAACCACCAACAGTTACAGAAATAGCTGAATCTTTTTCTGCAGTTTGTGGCTAAAATAATAATTTCATGTACAGTATGAGCTTTGGTGTTCTGAATTAAACTTCTGATTCAGCAAAAAGCATTTCTAGACAGGAAAAAGAAATAAATAATTATTTTTGTGTTTTAGCTAATCATTCATAAACAAAATAGTCCAATATATTCAGCACTGTTTTATCATACATATTGCTGCTATAGAAGTCAGAGACCATCAATAACTGAAGACAATGTGAGAGGATGCCAAAAGCTTGCTGTCTGATTTCAGAAAATATTTTGATCTTAATATGTAACAACAGATTGTCAATGTCCATGCATCTCACAGACTGCATGTTAATTAATTAGACTTGATGATCAAGAGCTCTGTCTTTTCAATTACGTTTTACAAAATGATTTGTAAAATCAGGGCACTGTCATTGGCTAATAGGCGATCCATAAAAAGTTCGGACTACAGGACTGGAAGTTACAGATATCAACATATATCTGCAAAAAATACTAATTTATGATTAATAGATGGCCTATTGTATTCCATTTTTTTTCCTAAAATAAGGAGAAATTCTTTAAAAAACTTCAAGGCATCTGGGATATTTTCAAAATGCGCATTTCAATCAAGAACATGTTCCCCATGAGGAAACTTCACAGAATGCTTAATGTATTTTGTTGTATGTTTTCAAGTTCTCCTTCTGAGTACATATCCTTGTAAATGGAAATTCTTACCAAGAATATTACCCGTGGCATTAGAGCTGAAACTAAAAATATGATAGAATAACATTGAAACGTTTTCCTCATACAGGATCATTTAGACAGGTTTGAGCCTTCCAGAGGGGTTCTTCATGCAGTTACAACAAAATGTTTCCAAACTGAAATATAGCAGCTGACATTGAACCAAAAAATATGTTCCAAATTGTTGTGGTTAGTAACACAAGAGTGCCCTCTGTCGATGATGAACTCAAGATCAACCACTTGGGCACAAACAAAACATATTTTGCTTGAAATGTGTCAAATTAAGGATAACTGCTTCCCTCTTCCCACAAAAGGTGATTCTGAAGTTAACAAATGTTTGAACTAAAATGCAAAAATTCCTCTTTACAGACAATCCATGGACTTTTGCACTGAAATAACCAATGAAAAAATAACATTGCTATGAGAAAGAGTTTTTACCTCTTCATAAAAACGGAGATTATTCTCAGCCACATTAGTGAATGTTGATCTCATATCACACTGCATGTTCTGCTTCCATCTGTCCCAATCCGCTTTCAGAGCATTATTGGCACGTTCAACTTTGTCTTCAAGTTTCCCAGTCTCTTCTGAGAACTAAATATTAATTGTAAATATTAAAAAATATTAGGAAAATCACCATTTTCAAAATTATTGAAATCAACTAATTGTAGTGGAGGCAAACAGAACTGAAAAAGCAAGGCTGATATTTAACTTAGCACAAAAAATCATATTGAAACATCATTCCTAATGAATAACTCACTATAATTTTTGAAATATTAATAACAGAAATTCTAGACCACAATTCAAGTATTCCTGAAGATATTTTTATTGGCTGAGAAGTTACAGACTCTGGCACGTCTTCACTAGCACTTGACAGTAATGCATCTAAAAAGTAAAATATAGAGGGCTTTACTGAAGCAGAATCAACTGTACAATTAGATTTGGGCAAGAAAAATGAGAAAACCCTGACAGAACCTTTGATAACCTCGAGAGAAACCAGAATGGGGAGAAGACAGCAGAAATCAAAAGCACAACCTTTCTGATTTCTTGCCTGTCACATTGTCATCATTTTTGTGGAACCATATGAAGGAAAAAGGAATACAGAAGCAGAGAAAGAAATTAAACCAAAGGACTTTAAGAGAGAAGAAACTCTTCCACATTGATCCAGGATCCAAAACCTTGAGGGCTAGTCTACAGACGTTACTTGCTTCTAATTACTGTAGATGCACAAAGTGACTTTGCAGCTAATGGCATGAGTAAGTGCACAGCGGCCCTCTCTTTAATGAGTTTTCTAGTCTTCTCAGTAATTTTGTTACCTATTGTCATTTACTAATCAGCAGTGTCAGTTCTGGCTGGCACTCAGTCACAGAACTAGATACATCTGTAGCTACAGTGTAAATTCATCTGCTGCGACTGCAGAGTGACTGTCTGCAGCAGGAGGGGTCAGGCAAGAACATCACCAGTAAGGAACATCAAGCAGGAAATTTAATTCCTTGTATTGCTTCCATTGCAACTCAGGTCCCATACACTTCTTCTGCTTCCTTGTATTCTGCTATCAGGCAAATAATTTTTTTCCTTGTACAGCACCTCTGTAAACTTGGATAGCTACTCATGCTTTCTGCAGAGATGGTGTTATCAATGATAGGAAGTTCAGGATTCCAGGATTAACTTCCAGGATTTTCTTCTGTGTTCTTCTATTGGCAGAACACAGAAACATCAAAATTCAGAGCAGGATGTGGAAAGTCTTGGTGCACAGCCTCCTGCTTGAACCATGCAGGGGGAACAGCAATCCAAGTGCAACAGCAGTCTTGCCACCATTAGATACAAACTAAGCTGCACTGCCTGAAATGGTCACAGAACCTGCATCCCATTCAGTTTGACATACTAGAATCCTTCAGCTCTTAAAGTAGCCAAAAACTCCTTAGCTAGTAAAACTGAAAAATTCATCTGAATGGGTATTTTCCCCATTCCATAATAAACATTTTTAGTGAGACTTGATTTCTACCCTGATTTTCTTTGGCACACTTCTAGATTAATGAAATACCAGTTATTAATCAAGAACAAAATGCAAAATCTTATTTCTACTTTACTGAAAAGCCCAAGTTCAATTACCTAGTCAGACCAGTAATCAAGTTACAGACCAGGGTAATTTCAACTACCAACTCTGTATTCAAAATGAAAAAGTTAATCCACAGTTTAAATGTGGGGGAATTACCTTTAAAGGAATTACAGGCAACTGGATTTGGTATTTTGAACATATCCCATGCTAATTGCTTTTCCTTCAAACACCAAAAAATGAATGCACACAGAATAATGAAAACGGTGACATTTTTAAGATGATTTAAAGTAGGAAAGGCAGTTGAATCCATTTTCTGCTTTTGCAAAAAAAAAGTTCCTCTATGGGAATGCACTAGTCTACACACAAAAAGAACTACTCCGACTTAGAAGTCGTGGCTCCAGCAGCTTTCCCTTATCTTTTTCTTTATATCTCTAAGTAATTTATTTTACAGTTTGTTTTTATCTGTTCTTTTCTAGGAACTGTGAATTTCTCCCACAATGTAGTCACAGTGTGACATAGAAAGGCAGACTCCATTCTACATTCCTGCCTGGATATACAGTTTAAACATCCCCCTCTAAAGTCCCAAAGAACCGTATGTTGTATCAAGGCAAGGGTCTGACTTAAGATCTAAGGGCAGCATCTGCCATCATCTCAAGTAGAGAGGTTTAATATCTAATTTTTGAAAATGAAAAAGAAATATAAATGCCACCCTCTTCAGCTGCCATGACAGCAGAATTCAAAGAAGAATGGCTTGATCTTAATAAAAACATTTACCTAGTGTGTACCTCACTTACAAGGTGTAAATTGTTACAATTTATCCTGCAAATTAAATAGGATTCTGAATCCATTTTCTTACATTGATCTCACTGAGGCACCAAGTGTGAGAAATTAAATCTCACATCAGTGATCACCAGAGAAGCACAGTGCTAATCAGACATCCGACCACGGGACAGGAAGGTGGGAGCCAGACATTGTTAGGGCAGAGTGCCACCAGATGTGAAGAGTGGGACCTGTAGCCAAGAGACCTGGCCCAATAGGCAAATTACCTGGTGACACAGCATTTTACACTGTCTTAGTATGGTAAAATTGCATGAATTTCTATCTGCTACATGAATTAATCCTACAGTTTTAAATTAATCCTTTAGCCTGGAGTTAACACACAAGCTATACTCAGAATGTAATAGATTCAGCATTTCATCTCTTTACTACTCAGTTTCAAGCCTGAACACTAGAATCCTTAAGTCAGCACTTAATGCTTATCTGGTTCTGTCAGAGCACATTATACCAACCTTTTGTCAGAATTACTATCAGTGCTAGTGGCAGTACTAAAAGTGTTAAAAGTATCCAAACCACAGAGGGATACACGAGCACTGCTGTGTAGCCTTCAGAATGGAGCATGGGAGCGATGGAGCAACATATCCCAACAACTTCACAGCCAGAGCTCTGGAGGTAGAAAGGTCTAGACAAGCAAGAGGGTACCGAAGTCCTCCCAAATATCTCTATCAGAGCCTGCATCCAAAATCACAGTCTTCAAACCATCCATACCCTGAACTGCCGCCTTCATGGACCAAATTTTGGAGCAGGAGACATTGTTTTGGGTTTTTAGCAGCACCACAAGCAGTTTCCTAAATGCCAGGTTGCAGAAGCACAGCTCAAGAAAACTTTTTTTTTCCCAGACAATGGGGTTAATGTCCCATAAGGTTTAATTTGCAATTCCAGCCTATTTCATCTGCACTGACCTTGGGTATGTTTTACATTCTTCTGCTGTACAACTCCTGTTTGTTAAATCATTTAATGTTTGCCATGACCAATGTTAAAGATCTCACAGCCTTTTATCAGCTCTAATGACAGTCTGAGTCTCCTTATCTGTGGTGGAAATGTACTTCAAATGAGATTAGAGTTCATGCCACTCATTGTCAGCAAAATTTCTGGCTACTAGATTGCACTGACAAGTTCAATCTGACATCTACGAGATCATTAGAAGCTACAGGAGTTCTGCTTAGGAATAGAAATGTACAAAGACACTCAAACTCAGTGTTTGGCACCAGTTCCAATAACAGTGCCTATGTTATGACCACCTTTTATTTTGAAATCAGTTTGGTTAGAAGTGTCAGAAAAATATTTCAACACATAATAAAAATTTTTAAATAGTACAAAAATTACCAAGAAAACAGAAGTCACTTGAATGGTTAAAAATAGCAGTACAGCATTCTCTGCAACCAAACTATCCTTAATAGAAAAAGCCTTCTAATTAAGAAAACATCTTCAGATACAGCTGCCACTCAATTAGAGAACACAGAATTTTATTATCAGATTAGACTAACAGATATCTGTTTTACTGCTTTTGTGAGACTGCAAGGAGAATCAGGCTCTCAGAAACAGGATTCTCTGAAATGAGTAAAAAATAGAGGGATTGGACAGATAAAGCAAATATCTGAACACCTGGGTAATCACACTGTCCAAAGGCTTTACCAAAACTGTAAATGCAGATATTGAAACACAGAAACAGTGAAAAAAGATAACTTTGGGCAAGCTGATCTCAAAATCCTACTGGAAGCAAGTACAAACATCTCACGATGGCGTAAACCATTGTCGGTATCAAATCAACATGGTGTAATCAATACTATGCTAAATTAAAAATATTCCTTGATTTGTAGTAGTTCAGAAAAAAGGTAGTGCATGTACCTTGCCTGAGGACTTCATCAGATTATAACAGGAATACATCCTGAAGAGGCCATGTCCTGCCATGGAATGTTCTATGGTGGACAGCAATGAGACTGCCTGCCAAACAAGCTGTATGAAACTGGAATTCATCACTGAATGGACCTGCCATTGCTACCCTGTTCCCAGTCTAGAGTGCATTTTATAAGAGTTTCAAACTTTAAACTAAGGAAAGAGGACAGGAGAAGCAGCAAAGGAAGCAAAGAAACAAAAACAGTTTAGAGAACACAGAGGCAGAGAAATGATAGGACAATATAAGTAAACAGAATTTCTACTTCAAGAAAAAAAAACAAACAGAGGTATTTACTTAATGTCCCACTGCAGTACTCAGAGGCAAACTGTTACAAAATATACCATAGCCATAGTAGATACCAGAGAGTGGTAATATATTCTTATTTATTCATCTCAGTGACAAATCAAATGAAAATAGGAATTTCAAATCCAAAACCTATCTAAACAGCTCATCTTTACATGAAAACTAATTACAACAACTCTAATAAAAAGTATCTGAAATGTCAAGGACTTTCTCCTTTTATGTACTAAAAAGTTATTAGTCAGTTTTATATATTATTTACACTGTATAACACTTTGTGTTAACACTGTGCTAAAAGGACATTACTTAGGCATGACAGTTCAACAATCAAAAATTTTAAAATGCCAATACTCATGGTGGAAGTTGCTTTTAACTGGCTTGCTGAGCCTTGCTGATGGTTTTGGGGATGCCTATCCCCACGGGCTACCAGTTACAGTCTGACTTCACTAGAATGAATGAAGTGTCATACTGGACTTAAAAAAAATATTCGGCTCAACTAGATAGAACAAAATGCAGAATGTTTCATTTTAAATAAGCTTAATGAACAACTGCTGATTCTAACCACCTCCTCTCCCTCTCCTACATCAGTGGAGCAGCAGCTACAAGAGCATTGCAGCAAGTCTTACTTTCTTTTAACTCCAAGTGTGGAAGCAAATGGAAATACTAAAAATAATCTGTGGTAGTCTGTGTTGACAAAACACAGTGGTCGCCCACTATGACCAGCCTTTCGCTCCAGCAGCCCATCTACTGAAGTGCTGCATCTTTCTCGGGACTGCCTTTGCCTGGCACATACAGCTACAAAGAATTGCAGAGACACCATCCAGTTACTACACATGGCTTCACAGGACACTTCTTTTGCATATCTTTTGCAGTTAGAATAAGGCCTGGAAGATTTCAGCTTTCTGTCCATACTCACCAGATCCTTTTCTGTCTTTCTATTGGCTAAAGCATCAACTTTGGAATCAAGCTCGCCTTGAATTTGGTCTCTCCTTTTCAAAACACCCTTAATATAGAAGAGGAAAAAAAAAGGAGTAAACTACATCATATTTTAGCTATTTCAGAAAACCATCAAACACCTTGGCTATTCTATAAAATAAGTAAGATCACAGAATGCCATTTAATAATTTTGACGATACATATACTTTAATTAAAAAAATTAAAATTATGAAGACTTATTTTTCCATACCTGTATTTTATCTTATGTGTTTTTCAAGAATCTTAGTAAATCCAAAATCAGTGCCACAAGAATCTGCCATACACAGTATCATTGCTAGTTACATGAACAAAACTGCAACAGCAGTTTAATTGGTATCAGCTCAACTTACTATATATTCATATCTCAAAACAGCAACATGAGTTTGCCAAATCTCATGAATGACAGTATCTTCATTGAGTAAAATTTACAATATAAAGTAGAATGACTAAAAATGGTATACAAGGCCTTATTGAAAGTGTGACTTTAACCTTTAATGTTATTTTGTAAGTGCCAAATGTAATTCTGAAAAGTCAGAAAAGATTAACAGAAAAATCAGATAAAATTATCATAGGAATGATAGCTGTTCTACCATTGATATATGTGCTTATTTTCAGCATATGTAATAATTACCTCCTTTAAAACTGTCTTATCAGGTATTGGGTTTTTAGCATAATGTAAAAAAAATAATTAGAAAGGGGAAGGAACATAACTTGTTAAGCTACAAAACAGGAACAGTATTAACAAATTAAATTTCCATTTCCAGTGCTAATTTTCTCTGAGACCTTGATGAAGCCTTATAAATTTCTCTTTGTCTTAGCTTCCTCATCTGTAAAAGCACACTCAGGTATGCTTATCTTGCAGAAGTGTTGCAAGGCTTTAGTCCTTTTGAAAAAAGTCAGAAGCAGAACATATAAAATTGCAAACCTCAAAATCTTCTTTTACTTTACCTTGCCACAACTGGTTTTACTGCTTCTGCTGCAGAGATGTTCAGTATTCACCTCTAGCACAGGGCATGTTGAAACATCACAGGGTACAAGCAGCTCTACCTTCTCTAGCTCTCTTATTTGACTGAAAATATCTCTGAGATCTTGTCACTTTATCAAACACAATAGAATAATTTAGGAGCTTTTTTCAAATAATTTTTCAGTGTTTCTTTTTGATCTGGTAATCACAATAAAAATTGGTAAACCTGACTTTGGGCTATTCTGAGTAAAAGATTAGCTATATATACAAATGCTCATAAAGCTACTCAATAGCTCAGAACCTAATAAATACAGAAGAAGTTTAGCTATAAGCACAGAAGCAAAACAAATGTCTGGAACAACTTTTCTTCATAATACAAATGCTTGCTCTTTTTTACTATTTATTTTGCCTCTTTTAAAACTGTTTTAATGGCTGCTATCACAAATTATAAAACAAAACTGACTATTTTAATATTAAGGTGCTACAACTACAGACAAGTGCTGACTTCTAATGACAAACATAGGGACTATATTTTTAAAACATATTATTACACTTTTACAGTTTTTTGGTGTAATATTTAATGGTACCCTGCCACAAAACCCTCAAATTCTTTATGTGAATTCGTAAACAATTAATGCTGTAATTTGTACCCTGAGGGACAGCAGTTTTATTCTGTGGGTCAGTTAGGAAGGAGCTGGTCCAGATGTAAATATTTTAGCTGTGAATTCATTTCATTCCCCAGTTAAAGGCTGAACTCACAACACTGGAAAATACAAGGACTGTATTGTATTGATCACACCTTTTTCTGCACATTTGCATGTGATCTTGGCAGCACTGCACATGAGGGGTTAAACACACCTCTGAAAGCAGGTTTATTACTGTGTGACTTACCATGGTATTTTTAGTGTGATTAGTTTTACCCTCTCCAAACTCCAAGAGGGAAGTAAGCCATAACAAAAATAAAAATCCAGAGTGAACGAAGGGAACAGCTGTGAGCTACTGAAGGAAGGTTTTTCCTCTGGACAGGACCACATGGCAGACTAATGCTGTGTTGCAAGTGCTGCATCAAGAAAACTACAAGCAGAAAAAATGCAGTGGGGAACAGCAACTTGTAAAGTGTGCATGAAGAGCCAGGTAGTCACCCTGGGGCTTGTCCACAGAAACTTCTTTGTGCTCTGGACAGTACACCTGAGAAAGGGTGAGGGTGAGCCAGGCTGCAAAACAGAAGGTCATGGGGCAGGCAGAATCTCTTCAGTAGCATGAAGGCCAGGATCACTCATGGGTAACAGACTTAGAAATGCTGAAAAATTACTTCTGGAAGTGGGGGAGACGAAGAAGAGCTGCAATTGCTAGGATGGTAATCTCTTTAAACTTTTAAGCAAAGCAGTACCTACCTCCACCTACCAGCATGGCCCCTCTTTCAGTGAAGCTTGTTTTAAATACAGCAGTCATTGCAGCAGTAATTCCTAACCTCTCGGTAGCTGAGCCTTACTGAGAAATTGGCAATGCTCTGCACAGTGCCAGCAAAGGCTCAGTTAACTTGGGTCTTGTTCTACCCATGGCCTGCAACACACTGTCAGCCCCTACTCAGAAGGCACTGCAGTAGGAGCTGGACTCCCAGCAGTAACAGAAGAACTAGGATACTGCAGCTGGCATTGCTCAAAACCTAGACAAAGAGGGGTTTGTACACATGTTCTGCTTTCTGGAGGCAGCAAAGTGGGAATTATGACATGCTGAATTCAGTTACTTAATTATGTTGATTATCCACCAACACTGAGTATATCAACTCTGATTTTTTACATTCTCTCGAAGTGTAAGAAAAATACATACATAAAGGGAACTGAAAGCAGTAGCTTATGGCAAAGACTAACACATGCTTATATAATGGCACAGGGACTGGAAGTTCTCTGCTGTTCTGGAAAAAGAAAACATAGTTTAGGAACAGCTCCTAGAAAGGGAAAAACCTCTCCACTCCTTTTCCCACACACAATCTGTTACTCAATGAGTTCATATTCTATCCGTGTCACAGAAGGTCTTTCTCAGCTGCTGTTCCCAAACCCTTTCGGCTACAATGAAGAGCTCACTGAAGATGGCAAAACCAGACACCCTAGCACAGCTACCAAGGGCTGCCTGCCAGGCAGAACTGTCAAGCTCTTTTTATTTGGAAGGGGCATCTCTGGCCAGATTAGCAAGGGAACAGGACCAACCAGATTCCCTGCTAACAGACAGTTATCCTATGCTGCACATGTTTTGTAATGAGTAAATACAGGGACTGTAAAGTCATTTTCATCATTCTCTCCTAGACTTGTCACTGGACTAAGCCAGATTTTATTTACAGCCACAAACAATCCTTAAAGAAACCTTACCATCAGAATTTCACTGTAGAGAACATATTCATGTAAAATTGGCAGCAGGTTTTCTGAGAGCCCTGCCATTCTCTTCTCCGTAGCCTTGCAACACCTGTCGATGCAGCTGGCAATGCCCTTCAGGGAGTCTGCTAAATCTTCTTCCGATGCTGACCAGAGGGTGTGGATGGGGCCGTATTCCTTCATTTCATTAAAATAGTCTTAACAGGAACATATACACATATTACTCTTTGTTCTTTAATAGATATCTAAGCGATGCTAATTACAACCTCGTATTTACTGCGAAAAAACCAAGAGGCTGAGGCTAGTGTTTAAATTTGCTCAAATGACCAAGGTAAGTAAACTCTGGTTCATTGTTTATAAATAAACTAATCAATTAAAGTATTGTAATTAAGTAGTTTCAAGAAATCTATCAGCAAAAATGCGCCACTCATTTCAAAAGGACACACATACTCAGGCAGACCTGAAGAGTTGTACTCAGACACCCTGCACTGATGACCTGCATTGCTTCACTTTGTCTTCATATAGAGCGACAGGAGCCATGAGCAGCCGTGGGCAGCAGTTGGTCTGATTTGGGTCTACTATCCTGAATTCCTCTGCTGCTTGAAACAGTAACGTTCCGAATCCTGTCTCAGTTATTAAAACTAGAAGCTTTGTTATGTCCCAAAAGCTTCAAAAGAAACACTAAAATTCACACCAGTTCTCCAGGTGTTATGTCCTTCAGTAGTTTTTAATAATTTAAATACAGGGATATCCAACAAATTACTTCTCTTATGTCTCTAGACCAAGTGATAATCTGTAAGCAGAGAGGGCCCAGAATACACTGTGCCACTTGGTAGGGCTAAACGTGGGCAAGGCTCCGTATGACCAGGAAACTTCATGTTCACAGGAGGGTACTGTGAACGCATTGGTCATGTATCAAAAAAAGAAATGTCCTAGAAAAGATGAAAGCAGTTGTGTGGCATGAAGAGTGTAATGTTTACTTTGAGACTAATTGGACAAAAAAACCTCTGTGGAAGATGTAATCAAGAATCCCACATCAAGCTACTGCAAGCAGGAATGTTGTCTGCATTGCAGCTATCAACAGTTCCGATCCACAACAGTGCAGCCCTGCACACAAGTGTTCTGACGTGCTGTTTAGAAAATATGGGAAGAAGATATAACTACAGCATTTGGAAGCATGTCAAAATTCTTAAGGTTTTCCAAGAATTTGATACTGATGCCTTGAACCTACAGAACTCAGCTATTTCCATTGAAAGGAACAATATCAAAAGGAACTCTTTTCACCAATATGTGTTTTCCTTTTATAAGATCCTTCCAATTCAGTGAGGACATGCTGAGATCTGGTGCTGCACAATAAAGCACAAGGGCTCAGTTATTAAGGAACACAGTGCAGCTTTTTAAATTATATCAAGTGCTGCCCAGTGGAAATTCTACTGAACAGGCATAGTCTGAGATCAGAGTAATTTCCGAATCTCAGAAAAGTCAGTCACTTAGCATTGCACGTAGGTGTACAAACTGCTGTTACTTAAGGAAAAAAAAAAGGTCAAAAAAATAAGGTCAGGTCATTCTTCTTAAGAAAACTCCTAATAGACACAGCTTACCATGACAGAAATTATGCCCAGCAGTAAAGCTATTAAAAAAAGAATCTACTTAGTCAAAACAGAAAAAAGGTAAAGAATGAAACCAAAAAAAGAGATGTTTAAAGATCTGGAATCTAGATAGCATTATTATTATATCTAGATAGCATGAGATTGCCCTGAAAGTAAAAAACAAAAGGTCATTCAGTTTTCCAAAAAGCACAGGTAAAAAGACAGCCACTTTTACTACATTTTCTTCAAAGTTCCTCATAAGTAGCTGAACAACATGTTAAAACTATTCCTGTTAAGAACTTATGAAAACTAACTGGAAGATCTGTCAAAACCATAACCATTAAGAAAACCACAGTATAAACATAAATCTCCCTTTTTCCTTCCTTGCTGGAAAGAGCATTTTGCCTGGCATGATAAAAACTAATTTACTTTTCCAATATATTAATTTCTTAAATCAATAAAACTGATACTTGTTTTCTACTTACCCCTTTCTTCCTTGTAAATCCTATGAGCTATTTTATCTAGTAAGTTTATTTTCTGACTAAATGTTCCCATGTAATCGTTGATTTCTGTAAACATTCCGGGACGATTTTTAACTGCTCCTCTTACTGAGGATGCTACAGCTCTGACGGTTTGTCCCATCCTGCTCAGCAAACCGGGACCCTGCTTCTTGTGTGATGAGAGTTCCTAAAGACAGAATAAGCTCTGTTTACTTCCAAGTACTTTTTTTAATTCTCTGAAAATAATTCGTAAAGCTTTTTTTTTTTTAATAAAACTACATACATAAGCCTCTCTGTGTCTTTTTAGTGTACAAATCTTATGTTAGAATTATTAGACAAGTGTCAGAATTGTACCTGTCATATGCATTTATAAGCCAAGCCTTTCTGAGCAAACACAAGCATGCCATGTATCATGCTCCACAAGAATGGTTAAAGATGGCAGAGAACCTTTACCCCTTCATTCCTCAGAGTGACTTAACTAGTTTCCAGTTTAGCTTTTTGAACAGGAAAGCAGAGGTAATGATTGCAGAAATAAGTAATTGAGAAAAGCAGACAATGTTCCCACTGGAGGAAGTAATCCATCTATTTTTTTTTCTCTCTTTTTAAATGTTGCTAGAATAACCTTTGCTGAAGTTCAGAGGCAGGCTTTGCTGAGTACAAAACTCCAGTCTGCAACTGGTGACATCTTGCAACAATGCAACAGGAAATTCTTTTATGAGACCAGTATAACTTTAAAAAAAAAAATAAAGAGATGAAAAAGACAGTGCCATGCCAAACCAATAATTAATTAAAAACACTGTTTTCCTCATAATCTTGGAAGCGTATATGTGTACCCAAAAGCATGCAGACTTGACATACTGTGAAATTGCCACAAAAAAATCCAGAATGCAGTAACAAAACTACTTTGGAAGGTACATCAATATTTATCATCACATACATGATTACCAAAACCACAGAAGAAAAGGTTATCTTGAGGTATGTATATTCCATAAATCCCTGCCTTCTTCTGACACTTCTGTAACAAGCCATGGAATGACACTATTGAATACTGAGCCAGGGGGACTCCTGATACACTCTACTAACACAAGAGGTGGTTTCACATAAATGTAGATAAAAACAAAGTAATTTTACCCAGGCTTGTGCAGTAAGAAAAATTTTGAAGTCTTCATTAAAAGTTAAAGTTGGATGATCAGCAATACGGTTCAAAAATTTATGTAAAGCTTTTCTTCGAGTCTCAATGAATTCATCACTAAATCGTTCCACCATGCCCTTCATTATGAATTTTTCAGGCAATGGCTAAAGAAAAAAGAAGAATAATATTGTACAATTTACATAATATTATAGTAGTTCTTCTACTTAATAAAAAAAATAGGTATACCTTGTAAAATCTATCATGCAAAAACCCAAAAGCTATATAAAGTTATCATATTCAACTAAGGTATAACATGGTTCTTGTAATAATATGGTTCTTGTAACACACAGTGTAGAACACAAATGCAACTAAGAAAGGAGGACATAAATTATTGCAAATGGCACCTAATAAAAAAACCTAATAAATACCTTTATGTGATTTTTAATTATCACATGCATATAAAGCTAATGAAAATAGGTTGGCTTAATGTTTGTGAGACTTCAGAAGTTGCAAAAAGACCTCAAACATCTCTGTATAAAACTGGAGCTATCTTATAAACAAATAAAAACAACAAACAAACAGGAATAATCAGTGTCGGATGTGCTTCTTCAAGTTTGCTCTTCAACCAAAGGAAATCCTGGTATCGTCTTCGAACTTCATATTCACTGGAGTCAAATTCACCACGGGATGTCTGAAAAACAGGGCCAGAAACAACAGGCTTAGGTTACAATACCAGAAAAAGAAAAGAAAAATGCAGTTTTAGATTTTGGAGAAAACTGAGTACTTGAAGGGAATGGAACATGATTCTATTTTGCCCCTGTTATTTGTTTGCTGTTATTTTAAAGTACAACAATCAACTCCTTGAAGAGTTAAAACACATCGTGTTTTAGCAAGAAATCAAAGTTCTATTGGGGAAAAAAGGAAAAAAGCAAGCTTTTAACTGCACTTTATGCAGTGACGTAATAATTGTCCTACCACAATGTTTCCAAAATATTTCAATAATTACTTTAGTGTTGCATTTTCCTTTTAGCAACCACAGTTATGTTCATTACTTCTAGGGCACTTCTTTTAAAGTGATTAGTAATCTACTAATGAGGAAAGTCCATTTTTTAGCATTCTGAATGAACCTCAAAGAGCTGATATAAATCCTTGGGACCTGCTGACACTAATCAACAATCCCCACGTTCAGAACATGAAAACTTCAGAATATTACAGCAATAACATTTCTTGCACTGCTTAATGGATTCTGCATCCCATCATCAATTCCAGTTTTGTAGCCCTTTGTTAGAACTTGCCAACAAACCTTTAATGTCTACAAAAAATGCTTATTACAGAGTTACAAAATTGTCAGACCATGAGATTTATTTTATCACTGCTCTGTCTTCTAGAGGCAAGCCACGAAGAGCCCATGTTTTCATTAATACGTGCTATTTAGCATTCATTGTTGTGCAGAGATTTATAATGCGATGCAAGTAAATTCTAAAACCTCAAAACATGCTTTTGTAATCTAAACATTTTTATTGAATAAAAATTTTTCAAGGTATGTGGGAAGAATGCTATTACTTTATCATCAACAGCCAGTACTCCAAATTAAATATGATAAGAAAGGACAGAAGAGATAAAAAAAGGCAAAAGCAATCTATCTTATGGCCAATCCATACTTGCCTGAAGAAAAAATGTTCACTAGTCTACAGAAACATGCATAAAGGGAAGATTATTGCTAGCAACCTAATGAAGATAGCTCTCTTCCTACTCTTTAAATATTTTATGAGGAATTGATATCTCCTCTTATTTAAAGATGAATAATTCCCATTTGAAAATTTGGTTTTAAATGAATCTTTTAAAAAGAAGTCAAAGTAAAATAAATTAACAGTGCAATTCTCAGAACGCAGCCTGCAGAATATTTGCTGGTAATCTCAGAAGACTTGGCTGGACTCATAAGGCTGACTTTTCTCCTTATTTCCTGTAAATAACTTGCATTTAGGACAACTAAAAATACACTTCATTGTCTCCCAGCATTACTTTTTCATTAGAGAATTGTGGCAGTTTCCCCAGAAATCACATGCAACTGTAAATGGGAAACAAACAACCATGTGATAATGGATGCAATTAGAAAATATGTGATAATGGATGCAATTAGAAAAGAATGGAATTGAAAGACTGTAGCAGGTAATGTTTATGCCAGACAAAAGACCCATAGGCTGCAAGTGATCCAAAAGTCATAAATACTTGTGCCAATATAGTGTTTTCAAACTGAATCTGTCCTTCTGCTGTTTCATGTTCCTGCTGAAGATCACAACAGAAAATGTTATTCTCACATAGCACTCATTTTGCTATTGAAGGTTTATTAACTATTTTCTCAATATAAATAATGTAAGCAAGTCCGCAGGTAAGCACCTATGCAGACTTACACTGATTTTTTTTCCAGAATCTACCACAGTTTCATACAGTTTTAGTTGTCTGTAACTCACGGCAAAATCAGTGTACAATTTAAATTTAGTAATATCACAGAGAACGGTATGCAAGAAGAGCAAAAATGCTACTGGTGTTATTAAAGTAAGCCATTACAGCCATGAATAGATGCTTACCTTTGTGACTACTCTGTATGTAATAAATGTTTCAATGGCTGTAATGTGGCTTTCAGGATCATCGACTGTAATGAAGAGATCTCTTAATTCTGGTCCATCTTCAAATTTATATTGGTTTATCATTGATGAGGGGGATATTGGCATTGAAGGACTGAATGAGTTTACCTCAGCCAGAGATGTATCCTACAGATAAGACATGAGAACATTCATATCAATACATCTTTGTATACAAACACGTATGTCTCAGATGCTAAAATGGCAAGCTTTTAAATAATCTGATAGAACAGATATAATATAGAGCAGATGAAAGAATTATATAGTACCTAGAAAATCTATTATCCTTTTCAGTATGTACTTCAGTGAGGATGTAAGAAATGAGATTTATTCTAAAACTGTTGAAAGAGCAAAATACTACCATTTGAGAAGAATGTTAAGCAAAGAGAACTTGCCTATGAATGGTAAAATTAGTTATGAATCCAAGCACCCATTAATTGTGTAGAATACTTACCAGTTTTATTAAAATGTTAAAAGCCAGTTGCTAAGGACTTATGATGTTTGAATTATCTCTAATAACCTGAACAGGGTAGATAAAAACCCAATGATTTAAAATAAAACAAGACAAAATCAGAATCAGAATTTTTATTGTAATTGGATATTTCAGTTTGTATGTATTTTAAAATAAAATTTGAAATGGAAAACAATTACAGATACATAAATTAATCTTTTTCTTTTTTCTAAAGGAAAACAGTAAGTAAGGATGAAGTACAAATTTGCTGCTTAATTTCTAAAAAAAAAAAGTCAAACCACTATTTTGCTGACGAGGAAATCCACTTTTTGATAGCATCAACCACTTCCAAACACCTCGCTAAGAATATGACCCCATAGCAGCTGCTTCTGCTCAGTGCATTCCATGGTGACCACTCAAGTGCTGAGAAATGGAGTGTAAATTGGAAACAAGCAAGAAATCTCATTTGCTTCCTTAGATGCAAGTCTGGATGAGATCTACTAATCTAAAATCTTGAAAGGTACAGTTACTAGGAAAATAAATTGAAATCACTAACTCCATGAAAGAGCATAACAAATTATTAAACCATTAGAAATAATAAATTAGAGCAATTGAAATAAATCACTATATTTTAAATAGCAAATACTGTATACTTTTTTTAATATATGCAATGCAATGAAGTATTTTCATAACAAACTTGAAAATTAATCTACTTTCTAGAAGTTTTCTAAAAGCGTAGTTAGACTACATTAAGTACTGAGTGGTAGTTGAAAGAGTTGCCCCTTCCAGTGCCTTGTTAACTATGGAGGAAGGAGGAAAGGGATGTAGTTAAAGAGAAAACTGCTTGAATGCCAGGACTGGAAATGTGTGAGTCCACACAAACTGGAGTCATGGCATTGTCCCAAGGCTGCTCTCATGGGAGTGAAGAGCACACCACCGTAGTGCTGCTGAGGTGGGGAGAGTTCCTTTTTCCCTTTGAATTCAACTAGATCAAAACTTTCTCTGGAACATGGTATCTTGCTCTTTTCCTGCCTTAAGCTCATTGCCTACTGCCATCCCTCTCCTTTGGATTTATCAATGTACTTCCACAAATATGGAGGAGAAATTTATATTGGGAATTATGCCCAGAAAGCACTTATGTACCAGTTCTTTGAACAGGCAGACAAAAGCAACACGGATAACTAAAGACAAGACTTTAAATATTATACAGTGGCTTCCTAGTACACCTGTCAGTCATTTTACTTTTATTCAGTGTGTTTCTACACGTGATTTCTATACTGGTATCCAGCTAGCACTGTCCTGAGTGGTGGAGAATAAACAGAGAAGCTGTTTTCAGAGCCCGCTAGCACTGGCTGGCCACACTCTGGATGAAGAATGAGGACTGCTAGTTCAGAGCAGCCCATGCGATTCAAAGCACTGAGACAACAGGAAATTTCCAGGGAAAGAAAAATGCATGTGAGCGTGTAAGGGACTTGAATGGCCATATAACTTGAGGACTAATGACTCTGCAAGGCCTAAATTGGATCAAGGTAAATGTGTTTCATATTTTCTCATTTTCCATGGGGCATTAATGTCTTAATGTTTCATTCTTTCCTCTAGGTTGCTAATAAAACTTTTTCTATACATGCAGGTTTCTGAAAATATATTTTTATGTGGAAAGGCTTATGAATATGTGGTTTGTGAAACAAAGCATAGGCAAAAAAATCCATAGAATAAGCAGGTCTTCAGATTTGTTTAATACAGGTCTAGTTGTCATGTGCACATGCATGAATGCACGTGACTTTTAAACAAGTTTCATCCTCATGATACTTCAGGTTTACTTACAGTAGTTCTTGAAGTTCATGCAAGCTAAGTCTGATGTCATCACAGAAACACAGTTAAAAAAAGATGATAATTTTCTATACAGCTGTAATTTTGTGGTTGGAACTATGTTTTTGTGTGCATACAGATGAGGCCAGAAGGAGTTTTGCGGCACAGGAAAAACAGTCAATTCTTCTAGCTCTTGTGTTGTGAAACCTTTTTCCTCTTCATCCATGCAAAAAGCATCAAGGCCCTGTCCCAGAAAATTATGTCCTTTCCGATGCCTTCCCCAGCCCCACCTACCTGGAGTATCCCTTCTCCTTCCAAGCCCTTTCACTCCTGACAGAGCAGTTGGCAGAGCTGTGTGTGCAAGTCAGGCCTTTTGATTTACTGGCCAAGAGACCAAACAGACAGAAAATCAACGAGCTCCTGGCTGTATGAGGGCCTTATTCTGGCTCTCCTTTCTCTAATACTTGCAGTTACCCTATCTCACTCTCACATTTGACTGCAGTTGGTCAGTAAGATTCTAAAATAAATAAGGGAAGGAAAACACACAGCAGGAGTGGCCTCAAAAAAGAGCACACAGTTGAGACTGCAGCTCTTTGTAGAAGACATTAAGCCTGGGGGTTTGCCTAAACACCACTCTTTCCCAGAGCACAGGACCTTGACTCAGGTTTGCCTCCATGCCTCATCCATCCATCCCTACCTCCCAGTAAGGATTCAGAGCTTGCAATTATGTGAAGCTTTCCCAATGCTAGGTGTCATTTAACAAGGAAGGCAAAGGATACCTGAATGGGTATTGCAATACATGCAGTACTCCATGCTTCCAAACTCATGGAAGAAAGCAGGTTGAAACATTGTATCTGTATGACTCATAACTCAACTCCTAGAATTTGTCTCTGCTGAAAAGAAGTCAGAACTTTTTCAATGGTAGTGGAAACTAGGATAAAGTGAAATGCACATCACATCATGAAATGGTTTATCAGAGCTGCCGAAGAAGATGCTGGTCTGTAGTATGCGAGATCTGTCACAGGATACCAGGTCAGTGGCTTATGACACTATCAGGTTAAACGTCTATGGATTTTCATAGATTAAAAAGCCCAGTATTTACATTTTGAGTAATAACTTAGGGTATTGAGGTTGACAATTTTTAAGAATCTCATTTTTCACCATTTTGGTAGATGGCACACTGCACGGACTAAACTGAGAAAGATGAAGTCGACGGCAGTGGCAGGTACCGAGCTCTGCACTGCTGTTGCCGTCCCGCTTGGCCTGCAAATACTAAACCACTACCTTACAGACACTGGCATAAGGAACCCCATTAAGTTACAATTTAAATCAAAGTAGTCCTCGAACAGTATGTTACAGAAAAATTGGTTTTACAACACTTAATTGGAAGCTACATTTAGCCTGTCAGTTTCCCTTGAATATATGGAACATGAACAAATAGGGTGTAAAGCCTAAACAACCTCACAGATTTTCATAAGCTCAGAAGATCAGCCCTCAAATTACACCTGAAAACAAACCAGGGATTTGTGGTCTATATATACACTACAGGCAGGTGTCCAAGCTTTGGAAAGAAGGCCGTATTTTAACATAATATGACATTTTTTCTTGTTTGTGGGGAATAACTTATCATGTAGCATGCATTAATAGTACTTAAGATTTCATATAAGTAAGAAATATTTGTCATGAAGCCAAGTAGAAATTTAAAGACATAGGTATTTGCCAATAGCAGCAGTAACTTTTATCAACTCCACTTGTTTTTATTTTTTTATTCCCGAGGGAAATAGCTCTTGACAAGCAAGCAGCATAACTGTTGATACACTGTGTTAATAGGCAGATACCTTCATGCAGAACTGCCTAACCTTACCTCATAAAAGCAAAAGGATTCAAAGTGAGCACAAACAACTAAAATTATATTTTAGCACTGCTTTTGCAAGCAAGTTCAGTGAATCATTCATTGCTTTATGTCAAACCAGGGCTGGTGCTTTCCTAGAAGAACATATTTCAGCTAGACCCTAGTTATGCTTCAGAAAAACACAGATAACTTGGTGAAATTTAGCCTGATGTCTTTCATGTTAGAAACTATTAAATGAGCTAATAGTTCCTTCTGGCCTTAAAAGCCATGAGTTTCAAGAATTCTACTAGAGTCAAAGTTTAAACACGTAGCTTCTAAGAAGGAAGTCCTTATTCCAATGGTTTTATTCATGCATACCACAACAATGTATCTTGCCTACAGAAATATAAAAACCCTCACATTTAATCCATATGACAACCAGTCCTACTGAATATATGTATATTGTTGCTTCTTCAAATAAGAAATGTATTTGCTGTTTCTCTCCCATGGCACACACCCTGTCACACAGCAGTTCACAAGCCTCAGAGGGTAAACAGCACTTTAGCCTCTGTATATATTTTTTCCACCTTAGCTCTCTGTATGTCTTTATATTTTAGATGCTGCCTTGATGAGGCAAATAGATCCATGAGATGTTCTCTTCTTTAACTGCCGAGAAGGCAAGAGGTAAGTCTAATCTTAGCCAAATCAGTACAAAATGAAAAATAATATACATGGTAGCCATACCACACTTCATTGATTTAATTAAAATCAGCAATATTGGCAAGACTAGCACCCATGTACCTAGTTGTGTGCTTTCTGAACATGGACCCTAATATATTTCAGTTACATTTATTTTATTCCCTTCATCAAAATACAGATGTTAACTTCTCAAGCCTCCTATGTGAAGGTGGGAGACCTCATCTTTCAAAAGAAAACTCAAACTGAAACTTGCAAACATTTATTTAAACACTACTGCAATTACTAAACACGAGTGTTTATTTAATTTACAGATACATATATGGTACATAACGAACGTAAGTGATGATAAGGTTACAGCGAGTCCAGATTACACGGCACATTTAAGGTAAGGGCAGTCATGACTCGAACTGCTGGTCCGAAGCAGCGAACCTGCCTTTCGTGCCGGGGAACTCGCCCGGTGCTCCGTGGCCGCCGAGCGCTGTCCCCAGGCAGCCCCGCGCCTCGGGCAGCCCGGCCCTCGCAGCAGAGCCCCGGGGGCGGCCGGACCAGTCCTGCCCTGCCCGGGCGGGCACTGTCCGGGCGCGGGGAGCGGGGGCTCCCGGCCGGCCGCGGGGCAGGCGGGCAGAGGCCGCGATCCCGCTCGGGGCGGAGCCGGCCCGGCCCGGCCCGGCTCGCCCGGTGCCCGCCGGGGCAAAGTGCTGGCCAGCCCGCCCGGCCGCCCCGGCGCGGCACGGCCCGACCCGCGGAGGGCGCTGCCGTACCTTGCTGAACACCTCCAGGTCGTCCTCCTCATCGTCCAGCGCCAGCACCTCGGCGGCGGCGATCAGCGGCCCCCGGGCCGTGCCGGGGGCACCCGCAGCGGGGCGCGAGTCGGCCCCAGGCCCTTCCCCGCCGGCAAGGAGCGGCGACCCCGGTGCCCGGCCCTCCGCCTCCATCCTGCCCTGCGAGCACGGGCAGGGGCCCCGCCGCAGCCGCTCCCCGCGGGGCCGCAATTGGCCGCCCGCCGCTCCCCCGCCCGCGGCCCGCCCCCGGCCCCGGCCCGCCTGGGGGGCGCGCCCAGTGCGCAGGAGTGGAAGCGGCGGCGGGCGGGCTGCGTTGCCGGCCCGGGCTGGGAGGGAGCGGGGACCGCGGGTGCTGGGAGTGCCGGTCCGGGCTGGGAGGTGCCGTGCCTGCCGGCGGGCCCCGACGGCAGGTCTGCGGCTGCGACCTCTGCGGAGGCGGGACGGGACGGCCCAACGCCCACGGGCGTGTTTGTGGAGGCGCGGGGCCCCTGCCCGGGCCGCCCCTGGCGCGGCCGGGGACTGGGCGGGCTGGGGGCAGCGGCCGTGGGAGAGCCTTCCGTGGGGCGGTCGTGGGGAGCGTGGCCGCTGCTGGCCGGGGCCACTGGAACGAGTGTGTGCAGTGCCTCGGGCTGGAGAGCCCCGTACGGCCGGGCAGCCGCTCTGTCCTCGGGAGCCCCGGGCGCCCGGCAGGGACGTACCCAGACTTTTCTGCCTTCTCCAGGCTGGTCTCTCCCTTCCTGGTAGACGCCCAGGGCCCGCCATGGGAGCAGCAGCCCGCGAACGCGCCTTGCCCGTCACCTCTGTTACTCTTGGGGCAGCCGCTCTATCGTTGTAACTGGAGGCTCGCCTGCCCCTTCGCCCTGGGGCCGCGTGTGCTCGCTGGGGCCAGGGACTGCTTTGGCGGCAGGGATGTGCTTGTGAGAACAAGTTGACAACACATTGCATCAGAAAAGGAGCGCGAAGAGAGACGCCAAACATTTTAAACCAATAAAACTGTTCCCTTTTTTTTTTCCTAAGTAAAATCATCAGAATTGCGGAATTTCGAAGTTGCAAGTATTGAAATGGAAGTAATGGCCGGCGTTACTCCCTGCAGGAGCCAGGGACGAGTAGGGAGGTGAAGTGAGGTGGACGCTGGTCTGACTTGCGGGGGTTTCAGTGCTTCCCTGGGCGACTGGATTCTGCGCTGGACACACGGGAGCTCCGCTGCGGTGTCGGGCACGTCACCCAGGCACACTTGGATCAGTGTAGAACAAGGCACGTCTTTACAGGCGCCGCCTGAAGTATCTGAAGTCAACTTTGTTGTTAATGTAAGTTTCAGGAATCCTGGGCGGGTGCTGAAGCAGGCGGATACAATATAGTCTTTGTGTATCTTGGTTCCCTTGCTGTCAAATAAGAAAACGCAAACCCCGTCATCAAACGAAAGTATTTTGAAAAGTATTCGTGAAACACTCCTGGCAGTTGATGAGGAAGTTCATTTGATATTTCATGCTCTTCAGTGAAGTCTTGAGACACAACTTGAAATAAAGGGATAAAAAGAAACGCTAAATGTTCACTGAACTGTGCAAAGAGAAAAAGACTATGCCTGCCTAATTAGAGAATGACGTTTTAATTCTAAGACGTTTTAATTCTTGTTTAAAAAATGAAATTCAGAGGGAGCTGGGGGCAGTGTCTCGCTACACCTTTTGGCTGACAGAAGCCTTTGCTGCAGTAGGTTGCTCTCGCGGGGAGCAGCCGGCAGAGGGAGATGGGATGCACCTATCCTGGAGACTCCACTGATGTTTCAGTAAGTTAAAACAGACAGTTTCTGTAGTTTTAAAATAACAACTGCCTCTGGTACGAGATTCTCAGTCTTCTTTACGACCCTGTGTAGACTGTCCCTGCCCTGCTGCTCTTTGCTGTGCCCCAGCTCTGTGCCTCTGAGGAACCTGGGGTTTCTTTGGTGGGCTGCCTTCCTCATAGACTGTCATGGGCCCTTGGCTGAGTGCTACTCACTTCCAGGTGCTGCATGGTGCAGGCTGGGATTGCTTGTGGTGCAGGTGCTTCTCATCTGGCTTCAAATCTACAGGTCTTCCCACCTATGTCTTTTATAGTTCCTTTCCAGTGTCCTTGCTGTTCTTGTATCCTCTGATTACCTTCAGGTACCAGAAACTGATGAATAGTGAATATCACAGTATAAATTTTCTATGCCTTCTACTCTGTCCTTTGTACATCAGTGATGCGTGTAGCTAGTTTGTTTTCTGACTTTGTATAGGTGATGGGTGAGTTTTGTTTCCAGGGGATTTGCCTTTATTTCACTGTTTTCAAGTACCACACGTTGTGCCAGAGGCCTGCAGGTTTTCTGAATAGAATAAGTATCTTCAACCCATATAAGGCCTGAGTTTTTAATATGTTTGTATTTAAATTCAGATGTTATACTTGTGAGGCAATAACAAGATAAAAAAAAACTAATCAAGGATCAGAATTCTAGACAATACACATCAGAGATGATAAATAAAAGACAGCTAGTCAAAGTATAAAACTGATGTACTGTAGGTTTGAATACTAAGGCTGTCGTATGAATCCATACTTATTTTTCAAAGTTTTACCATGCTCTTGGGTTCTTTATTTCTGTTTGAGAGAAATATCACAAGATGCTTTAATTGGATTTTTTTTCTTATTATAGCTTTTTATTAGCTCATTAATCAAGCTTAAGAAGACGTATTTTTAGTTTCCTTGCTGGCAGTGCTTATCTTTCTGTGCTTTATATTTGAAGTATCAATCTGTAAGGAAAAGGTTTTCATTGTCCTTCACTCTAGGAAAATATGCATTGCATTTAGTCATCATAAAGACACCTGCTAAAACAAAATAGGAGACCGTTCTGTCGTCACTTTCAACTGCCCTCCCCACCCTCTACCCCAGTTGTCCCTAATTTCTATGGAAGGGGCCCAGTAAGCAAATGTACCTTCAGGGCACCTTCCCTCCAAAGCCAAGTCCCAGGGGATTGCCTGCACCTCTCCACTCCAGCATTTAGCAAAAGGAATATTTTACAGACTCGGGAATTTGTTGCTCTTTTTCTGCTTTAGGACCAGAGGTGACTTTTAGCAGTTGAATAATTGTGCTATTCAAGGATATTGCAGGTAGTGTAAATACAGAGCTACACTTAGCAAACGGGATTTACAAGTTTCTCTTGTACTGTCATTTCAGAAGTGCATTGCTGTAGATCTTGGTTATTCTTAATTAAATGTGTGTATGTGCACTGGCTCAATGTTTCCTGAGCACCTGGGATTTACACACTTAGCCACAGATATCCTTCCCTGAACCTGTGGAATGAGATGTTGTCAATAATTAAGAGTCAATATATCAGATGTTGTTATGCCATGAATGTTATTGCCCCACTTATTTAAAAAATGGTGATTACACTGAGAAAATACTCAACAATATTTTGCTAAAGAAATTTTAAATTTTGTAAAATATGATGTTTTCTAAATACCTTTACAGTCTTTATGAAATACATAACCTTTCCAGGCCCTCCTGCTCAGGAACACTGAGTGGAGTATTCTCATAAGCCAGGGTTGAGCTGCAGTTGCCTCCAACTTTTATTTATTCACTTAAGCCCAAAAAGCTGTTTTGTATTACAAAAATGTCAATATTATTCCTACTTGCATTTTATCTTTTTCTTTGGTAAGAGTGTTGATCCCAGCTAGTAATCCCTTCCAGAGTTGCTTTTCCTTGAACAAATTAAATTTACAAACACCGAAGCAGAACCAAGTTATTCCTTTGCTCTCATGTGCAGGCTGCATGTGATCCCTTTAGGCCACAATACCACTTTGAATACTTAATGTTGCTTTGTCAAGTTTCACCAACTGCACAGTGATATGGACAGGATTAAATCTTGTTTTATTTCACCATTTCCCTACCCAGGCAGCGGCAGGGTATGGAGGCTCATGGTGTTTTCCTCTGTTCCACCACTGCAGTGCAAATAAGCGTATTAGTGAATCTGCTGACATTCGGCACCTTGACGCAAATGAGAACGTTTTTCTAGATCTGAAATGGATTGTCAAGTAGCATTCTTGTCAGGGTTGTGTAGTGCATAAGCAGCAGTCATTATGTTTACATCTAGAAGATATTTTGATGGTAAATTAAGGGCTGACCTTCATATCATACCATTTATTAGAGCAAGCTTTCTAGTAAACTCCATCTAATGGCTCAAAATAAGGTTAACTATTTATGTTCCATGCCTGAACTCACAAGGAATTTGGAGCATTAAAACTCTCAGATACATTGTGAGCTGCTTAGCTTTGCAGCTAACTGTTGTGTTTGGGTTGAAAGGTAATTGTTATTGTCTAGTGTTATTTTTGTTGTTGTTGTTATTTAAGTTGGGAAGGTGCTTTAGTTGGAATATTGTAAAATGATTTTTCTGTCAGACAGTGGATATCCTCCAAGCTTATTTTTCTCAGAGACTATCAGACTCTCTTTCCTTTCTGACTGCCCAAAGGAAATTACAATGTAGTGTACTCATAATCATGTTATCTCTTTTATAGCTGCAGATCATTTTTATGGCATTGTACCTGTACAAAGCCCTGATCGATATCTGGAGATGTGCTATCCTTTAAAGTTATGTGACTCTGCCAAATTTTAGACATGAAAATATTCCAGGTGAAGCACTTTTGGGTTTCATATTTTTTACAATATCTAAAAACAGTTCCCAAGCTTCATTAGTTATGAAAGCATTGATTTTTTTTTTTTTTGAGGGGGGTTAATACTTTGCACTGTTGTCAGATAGAGTCCATCTGCTCTAATTTAGCATTGTCTTTTCTACTGAAGGAATGCTTTCGTGTTTCCAAAAATGCTTCTGTTCTTGTTTTTTGATGAATGATATATTTAGCAATCTGTACTTCAGGGCCTGAAATATCAGAGTATCTCCTAGTCCAAAAGTATGCAAAAATATGTTAATATTTAACATACTTTTAGAAGCTTATCAAATTAATTTGATATATGAATATGAGTTCTTTCTATTTTTAATTTTCCTGATGCCTAATTTGGAATTCAGCTTTAGGTAAAGAGTAACAGATAATACTGGATGTCAAGTTATCCTGTTTATCATTGACCAGGTGTCATTGTCCTGTTTGTTAAATAACTGAAAAGAAATGACAGTGACTTATATGAATGTTATTTCTTTACAGATGTCTCTTTATAAACCATTTAAATTGAAGAATTCTGTATTTCAGCTGGTGCAGTGTAATGACTCTGTGATCATTGTTTGCCCTTTTAGGGATCTGCCATTATTTCAAGGTTTATTCGTCTTTATAGAATTGCTTTATAAGGATTTAACCATCTTTCATGTTCACACATGAACACATCAGTGACCCTAAAAGCTTTGTAGTAGGTGAGCCTAAGTAGGTTTATAGTAGATGAGCCTAATTAAACCAATACAGGAGACAAGACACATCGTGATTGAATTAACACTTCATAGTCATTATGTTTTAATACATTTGTTTATTTTTTCAGACAGCAACTTCGTGTGCCTTTTGCCATAGTTTATTACTACTAGAATGACTATTAAAAAGGTTTTCATATAAAAGATTTTTTTAGTCCTCAAAGGCACATCTGAACTACTGACATAAAATTTGGATCTATATGTGACCTAATTATTATTTTAATACTAATTGATATAAAGTCATATATATGTAGTCATTCATAAAACATGGAAAATGTATTCTACAGCTACACTGCCACAGAATCTCTCACTTTTATCTGTGCTCTTCCATAAAACTGTATAATACTAATTGTAAAGGGCAGTGATTCAAGGTCATTCTTACTAAAAACTTCCACTCTTTGTTCTACAGAGATCAGAAAATGTAAGAAAAATCCCATTGTCATAATGCAGAAATAAAAATGTGGTCATGTTTAGTAGATTATGACCCAGGGTTAAGAATGTGAACAGTATTGCTGCAGAGAGGAATTTTAAGTGATGTATGTGAAACTGCCAAAATGAGAATTGCAGCTGAAGGAAGTGAGCCAGCAGTCTAACTACAATCAATACCCAGGTTAAGTAAACAATTACAGTCTGCCAGAGTTGGAAGAAAATCCACGCAGCCTGACAGGGTACCTGCAGTGTCTTCAGGTATAAATTCTGAATTTACTTCATGGATGCCTCTCTTGTCGTTTACACAGACTGTAATTGATTTTTTTTTTTTCCCCCCAATCCATAAGGCAAAGACTGTTCTCAGGGTATGAAGAGCTGTTGTTAGATCCTTGCAAACAAATGATGCATTTCGACTAATAGTGGAGTTTGTTTTAAAAATCTGAAAACCGATGAGACTCAAAATTGACCAAAAGAACAATGTATGTTGTCAGACAATTTGATTGGACAGGGAAGCAGACTTATGAATAATTAAAAATTACAAAAGAGTAATATTAAGGTACCTTGTGAGCACTGAACCTGCCTGGCATAGACACCAAGCCTAGAATGGAAACATGTGTTTACAGCATTTTAGGGTAGTTTCCTTAGCACATATTAATATGTGGAAAAGTCCTTGTGTGAAAACTTGGCAGTTGGTCTAAGAAGATTCTTCATCTCCTTGACTTCCTCTTCCTCTCCTAACTTAATTTGTTATAAAGTTACTAAATAGCTCAAAATAGTTTCGACACCATTAAAAGAGATTCCAAACCCCCCAAAAGAACTGAAATAGATTTATGGAAGAATGAATGTTTTTACATTGTGGCTTGATCTCTTACCCCTTACTTAGGCAAAATTTCTTGGGAAACTTCAAAATTTTCCTGATAGCAGACATACATAGGAAGCTCGTAGTATAGTAGTCAATTGTTCTACTTGTATTCCCTAATTTTATATTTAACCCCCCCAAAATATCTTTATGATATAAAAATATCAGTTGCTCCTAGTGGATGAGTATGTGACAGTATTTATTTTCCTGTGCTCAGAACACATGAAAAGCAACAAGCCAGCTACTGTCTGTTCTCTCACCAGTGCATGCTGTGTTTGGGATTAGCTAAGGCATGTGATATATCTGGTGGGAATGCTATATAGTGAATGTGTGAGTGAGGTGTGACACAAGTACACAGGACAGTAGACTTCATTAATTTAGTAGTGCTGATTTTGGGTGGGTTTTTTTTTATTATTTTATTTTATTTCCTCTTAGCATGTCTTAGTGTGTTTGCACTGTGTTCAATTTTGGCAATTCTTTGTCTTCAAAACTGAGAAGTATTTGTCTCCAAATACAGACAAGAGCCGTTGCCAAATTCTAGAAAAGAATAGCAGAAGAAGCATTTAAATTTCAAGACTTTATATCATGATGTAATTCAAGACACAGTGCCTTTGGACAGTATGGTCAGACTGCAGCTGCAAGAGCTCTAGATCAGATAGGAAGGAACTATTCCAGCAGATGTGATTTACAGTAGCAACACAAGCAGTCACTGCTTCCTGCAGTTTTCTCTTTTGTGAGAATATGGAAAGGACTGGATTGGTCTGTGTCTTAGAGGGGAAACAATGGGATTAATTAGGTCCCTATTAAATTTGACTGACTTTTCACTTAGGAACGATGTGATAATGCACTTAAGATGTTGACTCACTGGATTTGCAAGAGAACTTCTGTTTAAAATTAGGTTTGTGGATGGACTGTGGCATTGAAATGCTGTGTTCTGGTGCATTACAGTTAGACATCATTGGCACTTATTTACCACTGAGAGAAAGAGAAAAGCTGTTAGGCAAGATGAAACTGCAGGGAAGAGTAGGTGTATCTCCCAATCTCCTATGAATTAAATCCCTGTCATATTAGATGAAAGCTTAAATACATTAAATTTCTCTTCTTTATTGATCTTTATGATAAGTAATTGCTAGAAGGATGCTATAGGCTTTAAAAAGCAGAAGGAATATGGGAGAACTTGGGAGGTGTGTAGTACAATATTTACACTTAACTTACTCCATACTCTGAAAAAGTTTTGAGATCAGAGAAGTCAGTTCCTTTACACCTTAAGTTTATAACTGTGCTTTCCTTATCTGCAAAGCAAAGCTACATGCTACTTTTGGCTTTATTGAACTTCTGAAGCCTTAATAGAATAATAGGGGTTTTTCTGTGCCATATCATTTAAGAGAGCAAATGACTAGCTGCTAGACTGCATTTTTCAGCCTGTGGCTGCATATGCTGTTGTAGTTGAATTGGTATTCTGTAAGAATTCCTCTTTAAACTGACTTAATTATTTATACTATGAAATTGTTCACATTTCTAAAATGTACATGAAACTAGTAAAACAGACTAGAATTTTAAATTTTTCTTGTTCTTGTGTGATACACATGAGAAAACCAGCAATGAATAGAACACAACTGTTGGAAAGGGTTTATTTTCCATGTACCACATCTCTGAGAGCACCTTTGGGTTTACTTGAGAGGAAACTCCAGTTTAACGATTCTTGCTTCTTTGAGACTTCCTCTTAAATGGGCAAACTGTAATGCCACACTCAATAGCTGAGTGTAGGGGAAAGGGTCTTAGTGGTAAACTCATCTGGTTTTGAACCAGCTGGGAATTACTTCAGCTCTTTAACAAGCTAGAATAGTTTAGCAGTGCCTTCACATGAATTTGCATCTCTGTTTCAGAAAGCCATTCAAGCCTTCAGGAGGAATGATATAAGATGTGGGAGACTTTGATTTGGTTCCCACTCTGCCAAAAATCTCGAATATAATTTCCTATGAGCTGTATGGATTCTGTCTGAAGCCTGTGCTGATATGGCAACACACAAGTATTTTGAATATAGTACTGGAGCACAGCAAGGCCATTCTTGCCTTCAGCCATGTCCTCTGCTGATAGAGTCATTGAATAGATTGGAGCAAATCTCCTTTGATATCTGTGTGCCTTTTGAGGGCTTTAGGAGCATTCCCCAAGAAGATGCATGATTCCCATGCTCTAGAAGAACCAATGTAGTTTATTCACAAGGCAACAAGTTAGCTGACGGTTCCCATGAAGATATGCTGCTGGTATGAGGATGCTTTTTTAACTTTATCCTTAATTATACATACATGCTGGAACACAGAAGCATGCCTGATAGGAGTAAGGAAAGGAGGTGAAAGGAAACAATAAAAACAAACACAGTAGTTATAAACTTAAACCCTGAAGAAAAAAGGTTTCAGTAATCCTCTGGTTATGCAACATATTTAAAAGTATGATCTAGTTAATAGAGCATTTTTTCTCATTACTTTTGTACCACAAAAACCCCAAGTAATGTACAGATCAGTAAAGAAGGTGGAGGAATGAGCCTCGAATAAAAGTATGTCCTGAAATGCAAATGGTTTTTAAACAAAATTATGCCTATTTACAAATGAATCAGTCAATTTGTAGGTAACCACAATGCAGAGTGGAATGGATTCAGATTATCTCACAGTTGATCAAAATGTACTGCTGCGTACTGACGAAGCTGACAATAAGGAAATAGCTTTGATAATCTGCCTCTGGGGGCTGAAGTTGGCATAACTGGCAAAATGAGTCCGGAGCTAAGAAAGGGGAGGTAAGATAGAGAGATTTTTGGATGCCCAGCCTATCTCTTGTTAAGAGAAGAAGTGAATCAAGTGTTTCCCAATGATAATGGAGTTGGCAATGAGCAGAAACACAGGCAAAATAAGAGAAGAATGATGATCTGCATGACAACAGTCAGATATATCAGTCTGGTCCAGCTTCTGCAACATAAGGGATGAATTCCTCACTGGTTCTTGTTCTAGCATCCCTGTGCCAGTGGATGCACCCCCGAGGGAGACACGTTATGCCACCTCTCCAGGGTACCTGCCTCTCCTCTGCGACTGGGCAGGGGATTGGCTGGGAGGAACTGGTCAGAGGTTTGACGAGGGAAGGGCTTCTGGCCCAGCTGGAGGAGAAAGCAACAGGCCAGAGCAGCTCCTGAGGTGCCACAGTCAGCAGGAGGATTTTGATTAATCTGGGTAAAAACTGATGGCCAGGGAAGATAAATTAAAATGTTTTTATGCTGGAGCAGCAAAATGTGGGATGTTCTGGAACAGGATCCCCGAGGAAGTGGTGGATTCACCATCCCTGAAGGTGTTCAAAAAGTGAGTTGATGTGGCACCTTGCAATATGCTTTAGTGGGCATGGTGTATCAGGGCAAAGGTTGGACTTGATGATCTTGGAGGTTTTTTCCAACCTTTATGATTATATGTTAGAAGGATTACAAGAATGTAGTGGTAAAACAGGTGTGAAATCACAAAAGGTAGAATTGCACCTTAATTTATGAGGCAGATGAAAGAAAGAAATAGCATTAGTGTAGCTATGTTGTTTGAATCAAAAGCACTTCAAAATCAAATAATGATAGAAAAATTCTATTAGTTTTTTGAGTCTGTAGGATATTGTAGGGTTGAATTTGCTTACTAAAAGGGATCTTTTTAAGACATTTTATGTTTTAACATTTTGTGCACAGTTAAAGCTTTTAAGTACTACCAGGAGTTGTGACCATATGGATGGGCAGTCCTGCATATGGAAGTATTTAACTTCTTCAGAATAGCTTGGAGAACAAATGCTAATATTACTGGCTATTTCTGCTGATAATAGCTGACAGTTTTTTTCACTTCATCAATAATTTTTTATTTAAGTAATGAAGATATTCTAGATGAGCTGATTGAAGAATATATGATGTGTGATTCACATAAATTAAATTACAAGAGTAAAAGAAATCTGCATGTAACTGAGGATATCAAAGCTTGATACTGTACAGATCTGAATGATTAAATCAATCTACCAAAGAAACTCAGAAACTTAAATATGGAGAAAGTCTGGAACTTTTTTATTCAAAAGTTTGAACACTATCCAGCATTAATATCCAGAACAAAGAAAGAAACATTGTAGAAATAATCTAACTGGATGAATAGCCACATCATTAAAAATAAATTAGCAGAATGGAAAAAGATTGCGGAAAGGATTGACAGGCAGAGAAATCTATGCAAAAGAGTTAAAGAAGGGTAGGAGTAAGGTGAATTAAAGTCAAGAGGAACTAGACCTTGAAGTGGATATTAAACATGATAAAATTACTCAGTTTTAAGCAAGCAGTTTCAGAAACAAACCACTAAGAACTACATGGGGTCACTGTTCAGAGATTAAATGTATGACCCTA